CCATGTGCCTATCCAAGAGTCACTTAAATGCTCCTAATATATCTGACTCTACTACCACTACTGACACTGCATTCCACGCATCCACCACACTCTGTGTAAAGAACCTACCTCTGACATCTCCCCTATACCTTCCTCCAATCACCTTAAAATTATGAAGTTGCAAGTATTTGTGTTCCCATGGAGCTACAGCCACTATCCTTTTTATTCATTCACAGGATGAGGGTGTTTCTGGCTAGGCCAGTATTTATAGTCCATCCCTAATTATTCAAGGGCAGTTTAAGAGTGAACCACATTGCTGTTGGGTTGGAGTCACATATAGATTTCAGATTTTTAATTGAATGCAAATCCTAGTTTTGAACCCACGTCCACAGAACATTACCTGGGTCTCTGGATTAATAGTCTAGTGATAATACCACTAGGCCATTGCCTCCCCTACTGCTTCTAGTTAGTGGAAGTCATAGATTTGAAAAGTGCTGTCTAAGGAGCCTTGGTGAGTTGCTTCAGTGCACCAGGTAGATGGTACACAGTGCTGTCACTCTGTGTCAGTAGTACAGGGAATCAGTGTAGTCAGATCTTTGTTCATGGGTGCAGATATGAATGGCCTCCCTCTGTGATATAAACAACTATTTGGAATGAATGTTGAACGTGGTCTATGGGGTGCCAATAAAGCAGGGTGTTTTGTCCTGGATGGTTTAGAGCTTCTTCAGTGTTATTGGGAATTGTACCTATCCAGGCCAGTGGACAGTATTGACAGTATTAAGGTAAAGAAGGCAAATGGTATGTTGGCCTTCATTGCGAGAGGTTTCGAGTACAGGAGCAGGGATGTGTTGGTGCAGTTGTACAGGGCCTTGGTGAGGCCTCACCTGGAATATTGTGTGCAGTTTTGGTCTCCTTTTCTGAGGAAGGATGCTCTTGTTCTCAAGGGAGTGCAGCAAAGGTTTACCAGGCTGATTCTGGGGATGGTGGGGCTGACGTCTGAGGAGAGATTGACCAGGATAGGATTGTTTTCTCTGCAGTTCAGACGACTGAGGGGGGAATCTCATAGAGACTCAGAAATTCTAACAGGACTGGACAGGGTAGCTGCGGGGAGGATGTTCCCGATGGTGGGTGCATCAAGAACCGGGGGTCACAGTATAAGGATTTAGGGTAGACGATTTAGGACAGAGATGAGGAGACATTTCTTCACCAAAGGAGTGGTGAGCCTGTGGAATTCATTACTACAGGAAGTAGTTGATGCCAAAACATTGAATGTATTTAAGAGGCGACTAGATATAGCACTTAGGGTGAATGGGATCAAAGGTTACAGGGAGAAAGCAGGATTGGGCGATTGAGATAGTAAGAACTGCAGATGTTGGAGTCAGAGATAACACAATGTGGAGCTGGAGGAACACAGCAGGCCAGGCAGCATCAGAGGAGCACAAAATTGACATTTGGGGTCAGGACCCTTCTTCTATTGAGTTGGACGATCAGCCATGATCATGAAGAATGGCAGAGCAGGCTTGAAGGGCTGAATGGCCTCCTCCTGCTCCTATCTTCTATGTTTCTACATTTCTATGACTTCCAAATGAGAATTGAACTTTTGTCTGTGCAGAGTTATGAGGTGAAGAAAGGTGAATTGCTGTTTTGGAGAATTAGTACAGACCTGGTGAGCCAAATGACCTTCTTCTGCCCTGTAACTAATCTGTGAAAGCATTGGGAGGTGGTGGGTGAAGGATGGCATGGAGAAAGTCTCCTATTCTGTGGCACATTGCAGTTCAGTGTCACCCAAGGCAGCCAAGGCATTTGTAATAAATCACAAATCGACCTCAGTGTATTTTTATAATGATTCAACCACTCTTAAAAATTGCAATGAGTTTCATTGCAAATCCCCAGGTTTATAATGTTCTTCAGTTCTGCATAAGAATCACGTTGACCTTGAAACGTTAACTCAGTTTCTATCTTCACAGTTACTGCCAAACCTGCTGAGTTTCTCCAGTTTTCTGTTTTTAATTCAGTGTCCTCAGTAATGTTCCTTCTGCTTATTACAGCAATGCATTTTATTAATTGCGACGATTGCTAGCTACCACATCACAGGTCACTTCAGAAGGTAAAGATAATATCGACAAATGTGTGATCTACGACGAATACAATGAAAATGTACACGGGCATATGTATTTATGATATGCTCACAAGCCTAATTCCTACCACCAATGAATGTATTGCATGATTAAATATTGATCTACAGTGCCTGACATTTGACGTCAGGGAGATTCATGACAAATCAAATATTTCCCATTACCAGCGCTTGTTCAGTGACAAGATCCTAACAGACTTTTCAGTTAACTTGTCCCTTAGACCACAAATTGCAAAAAAAGACACAGCACCTCGATCCTCCACTGAACAATCATCCTGGATGGCACTGCTAATCAGTGTGGCAATATAAGATTATTCTTATCAGAGAATGGACTTTATTTTTCAAAAAGATATTTGAAGATGAATAAGTTACTTCTAGCTGTTTTTTGACCCTTCACACTGAAAGCTATGAACGCAGGCTCCTACAAACATTTACGGGGCCCCTTTTACTCAAAAAGGCAAGGCTAAAAGGTGACATAGAATAGGCTGTGGCAGACTTTGAAAGGGGCAATTCATAGCGATGTTTCCTCTTGCAGTTGATCCCAAATAAGGGGCCAAAAATGTAAGAAAGTTGCTTATATCCAATCAGAAACTTCCAAATTTTTGCCCAGAGACTTTTTTTCCCCTTTATTCATTTAATGGGATAAGGGTGTCACTGGCTAGGCAGCATTTATTGCCCATCTCTAGTTGCCCAGAGGGCAGTTTGGAGTCAACCACATTGCTGTGGGCCTGGAGTCACATGTAGTCCAGACCAGGTAAGGATGGCAGTTTCCTTCCCTAAAGGGCATTAGTGAAGCAGATGGGGTTTTCCCCTGTCAATTGGCAGTGGATTCACAGTGATCATTAGATCCTTAATTCCAGATGCTTATTGAATTCAAATTCCACCAACTGCTGTGGCAGGATTTGAACCCAGGTCCTTAGAACATTATCTGGGTCTCTGGATTAACAGTCCAGCGATAATACCACTAGGCCATTGCCTCCCCTATGAGGCAATTTGTAGTTTAGAATGTGAAATTCACAATCACAGGGAATGGTTGAGCAAATAGTATAGATACATTTACGTAAAAGATAGGTCAATTATGTGAGGTCAAGTTTAAAAGGTTAATCTGATAGGATGAGATGAAGAGAGTTTAACGAAGGACTCGTGGAATATATAAGCATTGACATGGGCTGTGAGTTTGAAAGGCCTGGTTCTGTGCAGGGAATTTAACATATTTCCATATAATGGTTTGATATTTTTTGTTTAACTTTGGAAAATAATCTGGTTTAATGGAATCACCGTTAGGATTGGTGCTCGTGTGACACATGCAAAATTCACTTTTAGCTTAGCGTTAAAAATGGTGTCAGATCTGGCAGTGCAACCCAAGAGACGTGTCTTTGAAAATGAGTTCTGGGAAACACCAAAAGCGTGTGATTTCAAATAAACCTGTTGGACTATAACTTGGTGTTGTTTGATTTCTGACTTTGTCCACTCCAGTCCAACACCATCACCTCCACGTCAAGAACTAATGTGGTTTTGCAATCCTGTTGCCCAGGAATTGCGGCTGAGAGCTGGAAATGAGGGCTGGGAAGCCTGAAAGCGACCATACTCTCCATTTTTGCTTAAATTTTGCTCATTTACTCTGCCAAATTTCTTCCGATCCTTCTCTCTACTTTGCATTTCATTGTAAGTGAGCACTGTGTCACATGATCAAACAACCAATTGCGTCAAAATTCTGGCAAGGAATGTTTGCAATATTCTTCTTATGGAATATAGACGTGATTGACTAGGCCATCATTTATTGCCCATCCGTCAATGTTCATAAGAAGGTGGGATGAGCCACCTTCTTGTACCACAGCTCTCCATATGGTCTAGGTATACACAGTGCTGTTGAGAAGCGAGTTCCAGGATTAGATCACTTAGACTGGATAGTCACTATAAACAGTTCAGCTTGGGCAAAATAAATAATAATCTGAACGATGGAACCCCTGTAAATTATTCCAGAGATGAGATGGATGATAGAAGCCCGGTCATAGGAAATAGCCTGGAGTAACATGAAGAAAGACAGTGTAACAACCTGGTTGATCAAGGACAGTTTGTTAAAGGCAAAGGTTCAAGAAACTAATGGAAAGTGATTAACATTATGGCAGGCTTTTACCCCAGGTTTAGACAAAGAACTCAACATATTATTGGATATTTTGATTAGAAGAAAATCTTTCCAGGTGCAAAATATGAATCTTGGTCACTTCCTACAACACAGGACATTAAGAGTCCATTATAGATCCATGAGGGTTGACTTCTGAGAACAGTATAAAGCAAGATAAATTTGGGAGACATCAGTATACAAATGGTGGAGAGAAACTCTCAAAGATTCTTACACTCTTGGCTAATTTGAGAAGTCATAAAAATACAAGGCGCTGAGAAGAAACAGGAAAGAAGAATGAATGAGTTACTTGTGCATACCAACTATCCTCCTGTAGATTCAATCAGTCCTCATTACATGTCATGGCCACGTATTTTTCCTTTAGAATTAATGTCTTCTAATCCATTATAAGGTTTGGCTAATTGGAATAATGATGGGCCAAAGAGCCCTTTACTGATTGATTAAATAATTGATAGCAATAATAAATTGTGCTTAAACTATCAGGAAATTGGGAGTGTTAAATTACAACAGTGGTGGACTAACACAAAAGTACAGGGCTGATACAAAACCAAAGCTATGAACAATCTTTGACAATATTAACTTGATACAGTCCTATTCATACACCACACAAAACAAGTATGATCACAAAGCCCTGAATTGGACATTAGATGGGACATTTAATAGTTGTAAAAGATTTGTCAAGTGCAGAACTACTGTCTTCAGCCGGAAATGACTAGGTTTGAACTTCTTCGGTCTGTGATTTACTGTGTTCCATCACATGCTTTCCCTTCCAGCCACCATGTAGTCATTTCTCCTTTACCCTAAAGAGGAAAGTATAGCATCTGGTGACTTTGGTGTTCAAGTCAATCTGAAATGAATGAACTTGTAATGGAATTAACCTTTTCCAATGCTTAACTTGGTTCAACAGTCCAAATTGTTGGTTTAGCAGCAGACAATTGAACAAAAATATCCCTTATCAACTTTATATTGTTTTCTGGTTTGAGAAAGCACAATTGTGTGTTGTGGTAATCAAAGCTAACCAGAAAATAGTTTTCATGATGTAGATTATTTCCTAAATAAGACATTTTACTTTCCACTTTTCCATCCTAATTTCCATTTAGGAACAGAAGAAGGCCATTCAGCCCCTCCAGCCTGCTCTGCTATTCATTTAGATCATGGCTGGTTTATATCTTAACTACTCCCAGCCTTTGTTCCATAATTCTTAATACCTTCACCTAACAAAAGATTATCAATCTAAGTCTTGATATTTTTGATTGATCTCTAGCTACCACATCATTTTGGATGTTTGCAACCACTGGGATGTACCCTAACCAGTGAAATAAAGATTCTCCAAAGGGGTGCAGGTTAGGTTAGACCATGCTAAATTGCCCGTAATATTCAGGGGTATGTATGTTAGGTGGGTTAGCCATGGGAAATGCAGGGTTACAGGGAAAGGGTAGGGGGATGGGTCTGGGTGGGATGTTCTTCAGAGGGGCAGTGTGGAGTTGTTGGGCTGATTGGCCTGTTTCCCCACTGTAGGGATTCTATGATTTCGATTCTGTGCTGACTGTTAATGTTGTACATGAATATAAAAGCAGGGATGTACTACTGACGCTTTATAAGGCTCTGGTCAGGCCACATTTGGAGTATTGTGTGCAGTTTTGGGCCTCATATCTCGGGAAGGATGTACTGGCCCTGGTGCAGGTTCGGAGGAGGCTCATGAGAATGGTCCCAGGAATGAAAAGCTTAACATATGAGGAGTGTTTGGGGACTCTGAGACTATACTGATTGGAGTTTAGAAGGATGAGGGGGGATCTAATTGAAACTTACAGAATACTGAATGGCCTGGACAGAGTGGATGTTGGGAAGATGCTGCCATTGGTAGGAGAGTCTAGGACCCGAGGGCACAGCCTTAGAATAAAGGGAAGACCTTTTAGAACAGAGATAAGGAGAAAATTCTTCAGCCAGAGAGTGGTGTATCTATGGAATTCACTGTCACAGAAGGCTGTGGAGGCCAGGTCATTGAGTACATTTAAGACTGAGATAGATAGGTTCTTGATTATCAAGGGGATCAAGGGTTACGGGGAGAAAGCGGGAGAATGGGTTTGAGGAACTTATCAGCCATGATTGAGTGGCAGAACAGACTCGGTGGGCCGAATGGCCTAATTTCTGCTCCTACGCCTTATGTTCTTATAATAGTGTTTGGGAAGTGGATTTAAGCAAATGGTGTGAAGCATATTTACAACTGTCCCCACATCTGCCCCCACCCCCATCAGTGAGGAAGTGGGAGATGGTAAACTGCCATTTAGTCACAATAGGGGCTGCTTATCCTTGGTTTAAGATGAATCACATCCCAGAACCCATTGCTACCACTGCCTCCTTCATTGTCACTATATCCTTGGTGGAGCCTCTTGCATCATCTTACTTTCTTCAACACTCACTCAGTCCATATCCACATCTCAATCAATCTTTTTTTTCCCTCTTCATATTTCAATGTTTTCATATTCAATTTGGCCTTTAATTGTTGTCAAGATAAGACTGTCAGGTCTTTATTACTTGTGACTAAGCTCTCTCTCTCTCTCTTAACTGCTTAGCAAAACTTATGATTCCTGAACTTCAACTCTTCATCTTGTTTTGTTTCAGTATCTTTCCAAGAGGTTCTGGGTATCATCTACCAAACGCACATTTTCAATCCTCCTCTCGTTCTCTTCGGAATCGAACTCTCACATCCATAGAGTGCAACATACCAGACCACTGATTGGATTAGATATTTTTTAAGGTTCATGCTAATGCTCAGACTCCTTGTCACTACTTAAATCACTGCTGACACACCTTGCCAAAGCTAATTAATCTGAGTTAAATTCTTGGATGGACCTTTGGTGTTTATCATCAAGCCGAGGTCTTTGAAATTGAGCAATAAATTCCACCATATCCTGTTAATAAATTTTTAACAATCCATCACCTCAGCCTTGTTTTCAGCTCCTGCATGGACTTTCCCATTCTGATCCCTTTAACCTCCTGAATCCTTAAGAGGTCTCACTGAGGGAGAAGCTATTCCCACTCTTAAGAGGATGGGGAACCAAAAGGCACAAATTATCATAAAAGAAGCAAATGCATGGTGTGAAAACAGTTCTTCACACAGTAAGTATCAGGCTCTGAAATGTGTGGACATGCACTGGAGACAAACTTAACTGAGGCATTCAAGAGATCATTAGATGTTTATTTAAGTAGGAACAATGTGTGAGGTCATGGGGGTACAGGCATGATTTTGACACTAAGTTCAAATGATTGAAGAGTCAAAGTAGATATGATGGGCTGAATGGCCTCCTCTTACACTATAACAATTCTGTAAGATCCCTGTGGTCCTCTAATTCTGGCATCTTGCACATTTTCAGCTTTAGTTCTTCCACCATTGGTGGCTGTGCCTTCAGCTGGCTCGAAACTAAGCTCTGGAATTCACTCCCTAAACCTGTCCAGCTCTTGCTTCTCCTTTAAGATTTTTCATGCCATGTTCTCCCATCCTAACATCTCTTTATGTGATTTAGTGCCAAATCTTTGTTCAACAAAGGCCCTGGAAGGCCACTTGGAAATAGTTCCTCGTCAGTCAAAGGCACAATAAAATTCTCAAGTTGCTGTCATTGCTGTTTATGGACAGCGCATGTTGGAACTTTGCTGCTCCTCAACATCACACAACACAAATACGCTGTCAACCTCTCTATTTCAACCAAATGCCACAAAGAGTTTAAAAAAAGAAGGGCTTCCCTTGGTGACACTGTTAATAACTGAGCTATACAGATCGGAGAGCCTTTTGTTCAAGTCCCAGTTTGTTGATCAGTTTATTAATCCAAGGCCTTGTGGCACTGGGACATGGGGAAATGCCTTTGCGAAAAAAAGAAAGAGAAGGGGAAATAATCAGCCAAGGTTCCTGCTTCCCGGTCAACTATGATTTAAAGTTTTGGCTCTAACCCCCTTCCCTACGAGTGCTTCACAGCCCACTGATAGCCAAGCTGAGATCATCACCCTCTGTACTTGTCAGTCTGCCCTGGACTGATGTTTAAGGTGAATTAAATGCAGCCTGGAGATCACCAGAAATCAGAGAGCTGCTCTCACTGCCCAACATCATGCCTCCTATTAGGGATGTGATTCCCAAACGTTTTCCCACGAAGAACACATTTCAAGATTTGAAAATTGTCACGACCCCTGGGTCAATACTGAGAGGTGGGGGAGAGGAGGTGAAGAGGAGGAAGATCTGTTTTGGAAGGGGGGTGCAGGGAGAAGGGTGGTAACTTGAGTTCCACGATGGCCATTACTGCCTCGATTGGAATACAACAATGCTTTACTGATTCAGGACAGGCAAATATGGACAACAAAAAGCATAGGCAGGAAACCGAGCATTCAACATATAAGACAAGTTCAGATGCATATCAAAGGTCTCCAATCATATTGTACAATCATACTAAAGCAGGAGAAGGCCATTCAGCCCCACAAGCCTGCTCCATTATTCAAGGCCGTGGCTGATCTTCTATCTCCACGAAATATTTCTGTTCTGTTGCCTTATCTCTTGATGTCAGTAGTAACTGGAAACCTATTGATCTCAGTCTTGATCTTACACAATGACTGAGCCTCCCTGGCTCTGGGGTAGAGAATTCCAATGATTTGCCACCCTCTGAGTGAAGAAATTCCTCCTCATCTCAGTGCTAAATGGCTTGCCTTTTATTCTGAGACTATGTCCCCGGGTTCTAGACGCACAGCTGGGGGATACATCCTTTCTGCATCTACTCTGTCCATCTCTTTAAGAATTTTGTCTGTTTCTATGAGATTGCCTTTTGTTTTTCTAAATTCCAGAGAACATTAACTCAGTCGCCTCAAACTCTCCTCATACAAAAGTCCCATCATGTCAGGTTCAACGATTAACAGTTAATATTTTTATTGAAACATATACAATCCTGAGGAGGTTTGAGGAATCTAGAACTAGGAATCACAGTCTAAAATTAAGGATTCTTGCATGTAAGATGGACGTGAAGAGAAATTTGTTCTCTCTCAGAGGGTTGTTAGTCTCTGGAACTCTCTTCCCTAGAGAGGATGGAGAACGGGTCCTTGAGTCTGAGTAGAGCAGATCTGTGATTGACAGGAGCTTGAGGTTATGGGCAGCCACTAAAGTGACATTAAGGCTGCCATTATCATCGTCATGACGTTGTTGAATGGCAGAACAAGTTTGATGGGCTGAATAGCCTACACCATAACCCTGCCTCTATTTCTTATGATTCTACGAAACTCAGTCACTCCAAACTAATACTAAATTTGGATTCATTCTGATAGCATAGCTCCTTCCAATTTCTAACTTTATCGTTAAACCATTCTGTGCAAGAGATGACATTCTAACTACGATACAGACAGGCAGATAGATAAATAGCCTAGCTACAGCATAAAGTTACTTCAGGCCTGCAAAACCTTCCAGAATGGCCAGGTGTCTATTGGAATTGGCATCTATCTCCTGATGGCTCTTGAAATCATCCCAGGAAATTTGCTGAAAGTAACATGAATGATAGGGAGCTTTTGTCAAGGGGCCAGAGGAGATAGGTGCTGAGTGTCCCCAGGTGTTTGCACAGCAATAGCTCTCTGTCCCAGTTACACCCCTCACCCCCATTCCACCAGAGCCGGGTTGAGGCCTGGACTCTCTTGGTGGTGCCAAAGGATTGCCACGGATCTCCTCCCCTGCTCCAGAGCCTCTGGGACAGAAGGAGAGGAAGGTGGGCAGTGCCACGTCAGCCTGCACCCCAGGATTTGTTCTCCCTGTGGGGTGGCTACCTGTTCCTGGTAAGGGGCAAGAATGGAGTTCGGCTTGAGGGTGAATTCCCATTGGCCTGGGGCTGGGGGGTGGCAGCCGTTGAAAATACTGAGCTGGAGCTGGTACCTGAGGTCACAGGCAGCTGGTCCCCAGTAAAATATTTTGCTTTCGATAAAAATGTACAAAACCCCTGCCAAGTAAAAGCAGTCTGAAATAGAGATAGGCTTGCTGAGGATGATCTCTGCTGACAGCAATAATTGGGGAGCATGTGCATTTTTTTTTTGAACGGCAAATGGTGCAATTAGCTGCAACGTTTCCAATTTCAGAACAGCTGAGCCTTCCAGGGATCTCACAGTGGCAGCCAGCTGTGTGCACTCTCTACTACCATCTTTAGCTTTCTCCCTCTGGGAATGAACCACACAACACGGCCTGCCGCTTCACTGATGTGGTACGCACATTTGGCCTACACATCATTTCAACAGAATCTCCTTCTGCCCAAAGGAATTGCAGCCATTGAGACATGGATTTCGCAGATGATATGATTATTCCCAGTTTCGTGAGACTGGTTTTAAACCCAACGTTGGTTCAGCATAAGTTCAGGTAAGATGTATCCTTCACATTGTTTACCACATCGAAGCTGATGTGTGGTACCGAGAGTGTACCGCACTACTGCATGGACACAATGGGCAGAGTGGCCTCTGTGTTGTAACAATTTTCTTGTCAACTAGCTTGACTACGAATATACAGACTCAGTAAAGTTCTGGCAACATGAGTTTGAATCTCGCCTTGGCAGATAATGAAATTTGAACCATAAGACCTTAAGATATAGGAGCAGAATTAGAACATTTGGCCCATTGAATCTGCTCCACCATTCGATCATTGTTGAAATGTTTCTCAGCCCCATTCTCCTGCCTTCTCCCCATACCCTTGATTCCCTTACTAATCAATTACCTACCTATCAATCTGTATTAGTAACAACAAGAATCCAATAAAACTCAATAAATGAACTCAGTAAAAATTTTGAGTAACGAGTCTAACAGTGGCTATGAAACCATTGTTGACTTTTTTGCTCTATTCATTTGTGGGATATGGGCGTCGCTGGCTGGGTCCAGCATTTCTCGCCCATCCCTACTTGCCCTTGAGAAGGTGGGGGTGAGCTGCCTTCTTGAACTGCTGCAGTCCTCCTGCTGTAGGTTGACCAACAATGCTATTAGGGAGGGAATTCCAGGATTTTGGCCCAGCGACAGTGAAGGTATGGTGATATATTTCCAAGTCAGGATGGTGAGTGACTTGGAGGGGAACTTGGAGGTGGTGGTGTTCCCATATGTCTGCTGCCCTTGTCCTTCCAAATGGAAGTGGTCGTGGGTTTGGAAGGTGCTGTCTGAGGGCCTTTGGTGAATTTCTGTAGGGCATCTTGTAGTCAGTACACACTGCTACTACTGAGCGTCGGTGGTGAAGGATTCTCAGGAAAAACCCAACTGGTTCACTGATGTCCTTTAGGGAAGGAAACTGCCATCCTTACCTGGTCTGGCCTACATGTGACTCCAGACCCACAGTATGGTTGACTCTTAACTGCCATCTGGGCAATTGGGGATGGGCAATAAATGCTGCCGAGCCAGTGATACCCTCATCGCATGAATTCATTTTTTAAAAAAGTAATTCTCACTTAAGAGCCTAATCCCACTATTTAAATCTACACTGATTACGTGAGACCTGCTGAGTTTCTTCAACAATTTCTGTTTTTGTTTGTTTTAGATCTCCAGCATGCACAGTTCTTTGAGTTTTTATACCAGGAAGACTCTGACGTTTGTGAGAAAAGTTTAAAAATGGGTGTCTCACCACATTGTGAAACAAAACAAGCAAACTTGACTTTGTCCTTCTGGTGGAAGAGATTCCTTAACGAAAGACACTTTGTGCCTGATTGAGAGTCGAAATATCAGTAAGGCAGAGGTAAAAAGGCTGAATATAGCCTTTCCTCTGACACCTTGCCAATGATCCCCATCCTATCCCATCTTAACTTTCTTCAGCGATTGAAACATCTAATGCAACACACAGAGATGGGATTTCCACCCAAATGTTGGATCAGTGCACTGATTAAATCTCTCCCTCAGAGTTAAGAGCCCTCGTGGCAGCGTTCATATTGCCATTTAGGAACTTCATTCTCTAGGGTCCTGGAAATCAGGCTGTTGGGGGTGGGGCGGAGGAGGGGGTTGCTGGGGGCAGAGGAGGTGGGTGGCAGGAAGAAGGTGTTTCTAGATTGGTGTTGGAAGCCAGGCCTTTCCATCAAGTTAAATTCTGCTTAGGTTGACTGTAGAAATTATAACAAGGTCAGCCACGTGGACCTCATAGAATATGAGTTCCCTGATTGGGGCTGTTAATCTGGCCCAATCAGGGAGCCCTGGCTGACATTGACTGTGTATGAGGCAGTACTAAAGTCAAGGACTATGCATGTGTAAATTGAAAAGTAATGGGATATTGGCCTCAGTGGAGTTATTTCACTGACAATCCCTAAAGAGCCCTTTTCTTGCCGCTGGTAAGGGCAAGTTTCAATTCCAAAAATGTATAAGAAACATTTCTGATGAATCCAGTGGAGAATCTTACCTTTACAAGCAGCGGCCCACGGCATTTAAGAATATAGCCACCAGTTTCATTCAGGAGTTCAGAAGAAGTGGAACTGCATTGTATCTTTAAAGCTAAAAACAAAAGGAGCAAACAAATATCATTTTTCAGTTCTGAAAATAGATTGACAATAATACACACATGAACATTTCCTCCATTTTAATAAGATTATGAGCAGGAGTAGGCCATTCAATCCATTGAGTTCATTTGATTTGTTTTCCTTTATTCATTCACGAGATGAGAGTGTTGCCGGCCAGGCAGCATTTATTGCCCATCCCTATTTGCCCAGAGGGCAGTTGAGAGTCAACCACATTGCTGTGGGTCTGGAGTCACATGTAGGCCAGACCAGGTAAGGACGGCAGTTTCCTTCCCTAAAGGACATTAGTGAACCAGATGGGTTTTTCCAACACTCGACAATGGATTCATGGTCATCGTGAGATTCTTAATTCCGATATTTATTGAATTCAAATTCCACCATCTGCTGTGGTGAGGATTCGAACTCAGGTCCCCCGAACATTATTTGGGTCTCTGATTTAACAGTCCAGCGATAATACCACAATGCCATTGCCTCCCCATTTCATTCAGGAAGATCGTAGCTGCTCTAATAATCTTCAGCAACAGACACAGAAGTTGCTGAAAAGCTCAGCAGGTCTGGCAACATCTGTGGAGAGAAATCAGAGTTAACGTTTTGGGTTGAGTGATCCTTCCTCTACTTCACTTTCTTTCTTATGTATTTTTACTCCAATACCTTACAATCTCCAGGACTCAAAGTCAAATTTAACAACTTCAGAGCATTACCACCTCCTTCCTTGTCTTTTACCCACTCCCCACAACCCTTGGTCTGGTTATGAAATGGGTTCCTTTCAGCTAAGCCAACTCATGTTCAACTATTCACACTTCCTATTGTCAACTATCTAGCTTCTCTTCTCCCATGGCTTAATTTCAACAATCCCTCCGCCTGCCAGCCCTTCTCTCTCTGTCCTCTCCCCACCACCTATCACCAACATAAATATCACCTTTTCCCAGCCTCTTCTAGTTCCGAAGAAGGGTCACTGGACTCAAAATATTAACTCTATTTCGCTTTCCACCGATTGAGCCAGGCCTGCTGAGTTTCTCCAGCAATTTTTGTTTTGTTTGTTTCAGATCTCCAGCATCCACAGTCCTTACTTGGCTGTTTGTGAGAAATGTTTAAAAATTGTTTTAGGATGGTGTTAATGATCTTAATGATCACAAATTGTGAATGAAGACATCACATTCCTTCTTACCTATATATATATCCCCAGAGTCGTTCATCTCTTCCTAAATAAATATTTGTCTGCTTGGCTTTTGAAGAATAAAATGTAATACATAAATAACAAAATGTGCTTGGGTCTTGCCTTTCCAGTAACTGTGAAATTGAAACAGCAAATCTTCCACTGTCATAAATAATGAGTGTACCGTTCTGTGCAGCTGCTGTGTGTTAATCTGAGATAATAATACCAGATTCCAGAAAACAAATACTTGCTAATCATAATTTCAAGGAGAGCATTACACTCTTCAGTCTAACTGCAGCATGCAATGGCCAAAGTACCACCTTGCTAGTTACACATACACAACACCACCATGAGTAGGATTCATTCTGTGGCTGTTTACACAAGATAAATGTAAAGGCTGTGACTTCAATCCAGTATGTTATAGAGTCACAGTCATACGGTCATACAGCACAGAGAAAGATCCTTCGGTCTATCCAGTCCACGTCGAACATAATGCCAAACTAAATTAATCCTGCCTGCTTGCTCCTGGCCCATTTCCCTTCAAACCTTTCCTATCCATGGACTTATCCAAATGTCTTCTAAACGTTGTAATTGTACTTACATCCACCACTTCCTCAGGAAGTTCATTCCACACGTGAACCACACTCTGCGTAAAAATGTTGCCTCTGTTGCCTTTTTAAATCTCTCTCCTCTCACCTTAAAAATGTGCCCCCTAGTCTGTTACTACAGGTTGTATCTGACCTGTGTGTTTGTAGTTCTTTGTTTCAGTGCAAGGCATCATTGGTTTACGCTTCATAGAATTGTAGAATTCATAGAATTGTAGAGTAGATGAAGGTCAGTCAACCCGTAACGCCTATTCTGTCCTCCTAACGTGCAATTCATGCACTGCTTTTTTGTGCCCCCCCCCCCCCCCCCCCCCCCACCCCCACCACATCTTTGCACAATCCTCCTCTTAGATATTCAGAATCTTTAGGAAATGCAGAACAAATTAATAGTACTGAAGGAAGCCCTTCTACCCATCAGGTCTGTGCCAGCCCAGAAACAAACTATCCAGCCTGATTCCATTTTCCAGTAGTTGGCACATGTCCTTGGAGGTTATGAGACTTCAGGTACATAACCACGCAGCAAATCAGGAACAAACTGCTACTTTTTTTGAGATGTTTTCTCTCAGTGCTGGAGCTGATTTCTTCACTACCTTGGAGCAGTAATTGCTGTTTTTATGAGTTTTGTATTGTTTTTGGAACTTTAAAAGAAGATCAGAAACAATGAGACTTTAAATGGGAGGTAAGAAAGAGCAGGAGATGAAGTTTTGGGAGAGCAACCACGTGGAAAGGTCAGAGGAACAAAGAGTGCACTTTCACAGTTGACTGACTGTGGAATGGCAAAAATCTCTGTGATTCAGAAATGATTTCAGTGCCTGATCAGCTAAGCTTTTGATTTTAAGACTTATAAGATATAAGACTTATAAGTCTTCATCTGTTTTCTTTTGTATATCTAGAATAGTGAGTAGGGTTTGGATTGTTTTTTATATTTTACTAAAATCTGTCTCTTTATTTAATTTTTAACATAAAAGTTAGAAATTAAATTATCTTATAGCAGTGTTTTCGAGCAGTAAGACTGTGCTAATGCTGAGTTTTTGAGAAAGTGTGTTGTATTTGAGTTTTGGCTAGATTCTGGGTCTGTAGATTGTTTAGGTGCAGAGATGGATTTTAGTAGAGTGGTGTGCTCTTCCTATCAGGTATGGTAGATTAGGGAGAATTTCAATGTTCCTGGAGATTATGTCTGCAGAAAGTGCGCTTGGATATGAATCCTAGTGGATCGCATGGTTTGGTTGAAGCGGCAGTTATGAGCAATGAGGAATTTACAGAAACCATCGAGTGCGATGGATGGCAGTTTTGAGGAAGGTAGAAGAACTGCAGATACAGTCAGGTGGATGGGTTACTGTTAGGAAAAGTAGGAGAGGGAGGTAGGAAGGGCAGGAGTCTCCTGTGGTTATCCCCATCTCAAACAAGGATGTTGTTTTGGGTCCTGTGGGGGTGATGGACCCTTGGGGAATGTAGCACTGACATCCAGGTTTCTTGCCCATCCCTAGTTGCCCTTGAGAAGGTGGTGGTGAGCTGCCTTCTTGAACCGCTGCAGTCCTCCTGCTCTAGGTTGACCCACAATGTCATTAGGGAGGGAATTCCAGGATTTTGGCCCAGTGACAGTGGCTCTACTGTAATGAGGGTATGTCAGGTTCCAAGCGATCAATTATGATAGGGGACTGTCTAGTCAGAGGCACAGACTGACGTTTCTGCACCTGACAGCGAGACATCAGAATGGTGTGTGGCCTCCCTGGCGCCAGGATCAAGGCTTTCTCGGAGAGGGTGCAGAATATTCTCAAAGGGGAGAGGGACCAGCAGGAGGTTGTTATACACTTTGGAACCAATGACATTGGAATAGAAAGGGATGAGGTTCTGTAGAGAGAATATAGGAAATTAGGCAGGAAGTTAAAACGTATATCCTTGAGGTAGTAATATCTGGATTACTCTCGGTGCCATGTGCTAGTGAGAGTAGGAATAGGAGGATAGAGCAGATGAATGTGTGGCTGAGGATCTGGTGCAGGGGACAGGGATTCACTTTTTTGGATCATTGGGATCTCTTCTGGAGCAGAAGTAACCTGTATAAGAAGGATGGGTTGCACCTGAATTAGAAAGGGACCAATTTCCTGGTGGGGAGATTTGCTAAAGCTGCTTGGGAGAGGTTGGGGTTATTATGGGACACAAAGAGATAGTGAGAAAAGAGTTAGGTCTGAGGCTGGTATAATGGAGAAGAGGAGCAAGTTAAATAATCAAGACAGGCACGAGCTAGGCAGAGAAGGAGGGAAGACTGATAAATTAAACTGCATTAATTTCAATGCAAGAGGCCTGACAGAAAAGGCAGACAAACTTGGGGCATGGATGGAAACATGGGACTGGGATATCATAGCTACTACAGTAATGTATCTCAGGGAGGGCAGGACTAGCAGCTTAATGTTCCAGGTATAGATGCTAATGTAGGATAGAAAGGAAGGCAAAAGAAGAGGGGGAGTGGCGTTTTTGGTTAAAGATAACATTAGAGCTGTACGTAAGGAGAATATTCCTGGGAGAACATCCAGTGAAGTTATATGGGTAGAACTGAGAAATAAGAAAGAGATGATCATCTTATTGGGATGTACTATAGGCCCCCAATAGTCAACAGGACTTTGAGAAGCAAATATGTAAGGAGATCTGAGACTTTTGTAAGAAAAATAGGGTAGGAGATTTTAACTTTCCTAACTTGACTGATACTGCCATAGTGTTAAGGGCTTGGATGGAGGTGAATTTGTTAAGTGTGTTCAGAAAACTTTCTTATTCGGTATGTGAATGTACCTACTAGAGAAGGAATAATATTTGACCTTCTCGGGGGAACTAAGGCAGGGAAAGTAACTGAAGTGTTGGTGGGGCGGTGGGGGGTGGGGGGAGGTCGCGGGGGAGCACTCTTGGACCAATAGTTATGGTATAGGATAGACCTGATCTAAAAGTTAAATTACTAAATTGGAGTAAACCCAATTTTGATGATATTAGGTAAGAACTTTCAAAAACTGACTGGGAGAGGCTATTCACAGGTAAAGGGGTGTTTGGAAAGTGGGAGACCTTCAAAAATGAGATCATGGGTGTTCATAGACAGTGTGTTCCTGTTAGTGTGAAGGACAAGGCTGGTAGGTGTAGGGAATGCTGGATGACAACAAAAAATAAGGCTCTGGTAAAGAAAAACAAGAAGGCATATGTCAGCAGGGATCAGGTGAATGTCTGGAGGAATAGAAGGGCATTAGGAATATACTTAAGAGGGAAATCAGGAGCGCAAAAAATGGGACAAGAGATAGCTTTGGCAACTAGGGTTAAGGAGAATCCAAAGAGATTCCTCAAATACATTAATGACAAAAGAGTAACTAGGGAGAGCATAGGTCCCCTTAAAGATCAACAAGGCCGCCTATGTGTGGAACAAAAGGAGATGGGTGAGATACTAAATACATATTTGGTGTCAGTATTTCCAGTGGAGAAGGACTTGAAAGCTGGGGAAATTGGAGAACTAAATAATGATACGTTGAAAAATGCCCATATTACAGAGGAAGAGGTGCTGGACATCGTAAAACTCAAAGGTGGATAAATCCTTGTGACCTGGTGAGATTCCCAGAACATTGTGGGAAACAAGGGAAGAGATTGCTGGGCTCCTTGCCAAGTTATCTGTATCATCAATAGCCATGGGTGAGGTGCCCCAAGACTAGAGGTTGGCTAATGTGTTGCCATTAGTTAAGAAAAGTGGTAAGGAAAAACCAGGGAACTATAGACGGGTGAACCTTACATCAGTGGTGGATATGGACTTAAAAGCATTTGAAAAGGTCAGGACTGATTAGGAATCATCAACATGGCTTTGTGCATGGGAAATCATGTCTCACTAATTTGATTGAATTTTTTGAAGAAGTGATGAAAATGTTTGATGAAGGTAGAGCAGTGGAAATGATCTAAATGGACCTCAGCAAGGCTGTCGACAAGGTCCCACATGATAGATTGGTTAGCAAGGTTAGATCACATGGAATCCAGGGGGAGCTAGCCTATTGGATACAAAATTGGAATGACGGTAGAAGACAAGGTGGTGGTGGAGGGTTACTTTTCAGACTGGAGACCTGTGACCAGTGGTGTGCCACAAGGATTGGTGCTGGACCGACTGCTTAATGATTTGGATGTGAATATAGGAAGTGTGGTTAGTAAGTTCACAGACGACACCAAAATTGGGGGTATAGTGAACAGTGAAGAAGGTTATCTCAGAGTAGAATGGGACCTTAATCAGATGGACCAATGGGCCAAGGAGTGGCAGATGGAGTTTAATTTAGACAAGTGTGATGTATTGCATTTTGGTAAGATACATCAGGGCAGGACTAATACAGTTATTGGTAAGGTCCTGTGGAGTGTTCCTGAACAAAGAGACTTAAGGGTTTAGGTGCACAGTTCCTTGAAAGTGTAGTAGCAGGTAGGGTGAAGGCGGCATTTGGCATATTTCCCTTTATTGGTCATAACATTCAGCATAGGAATTGGGACGTTATATTGCAGCCATTCAGGACATGGGTGAGGCCACTTTTAGAATATTCCATTCAGGTCTGGTCTCCCTGCTATGGGAAAGATGTTCATAGATCAGCAAATCCCTACAGTGTGGAAACAGGCCCCTTGGCCCAACAAATCTACACCAACCCTCAGAGTATCCCACACAGACCAATCCCCCTATAACCCACCTAATCTATACACCCCTGAACACTATGGGCAATTTAGCATGGCCATCCACCCTAACCTGCACATCTTTGGACTTTGGGAGGAAACCGGAGCACCCGAAGGAAACCCACGCAGACATGGGGAGAATGTGCAAACTCCACACAGACAGTTGCCTGAGGGTGGAATCAAACCCGGGTCCCTGGCGCTGTGAGGCAGCAGTGCTAACCACTGAGCCACTGTGCCATGTTGTTAAACTTGAAAGTGTGCAGAAAAGATTTACAAGGATGTTGCCGTGTTGGAGGGTTTAAGCTATAGGGAGAGGCTGAATAGACTGGGGCTGTTTTCCTTGGAACGTTGGAGGGTGAGGGGTGATTTTATAGGTGTTTATAAAATCATCAGGGGTATGGATAGGGTGAATAGCCAAGGTCTTTTTCCCACAGATACAGAAGTTCAAAACTAGAGGAAATAGGTTTGAGGTGAGAGGCGAAACATTTAAAAGGTACCTCAGGGGCAATGTTTTCATGCAGACGGTGGTATGTGTATGGAATGAGCTGCCAGAGGAAGTGGTGGAGGCTGGTACAATTACATCATTTAAAAGGCATCTGGATGGGTATATGAATAGGAAGGGTTTCAAGTGATATGGGTCAAATGATGGCAAATGGAACTAGATCAGTTTAGCATATCTGGTTGGCATGGATTAGTTTGACTGAAAGGTCTGTTTCTATCCTGTATATCTCTATGATTCTATGACTATGACTCTAAATAAAGCGGGCAGAATAGGTTTAAACAGTGTGCCTGCAACGTTATCTGTTGACCACAATCACAATGATAACATTGGAGACGGGAAATTTCAGAGCCGAATGCATTGTACTTTGTAAGGACAGGCGTGAATAAATTCCAAAATAAATAGTTGGAGTTGGCAGTAATGATACAAAACGCTGAAAGGATTATTAGGTTAAGATAAGGCTTTTGAATGACAGGCCTTTGATCACAGATGCAGGCAGTAAAAAAGAACAAAATTAAAGCAGTATATACAAAGGAATAAGTCCCTTTTACAACAGAGATTGCAAAGGACAAAACATCAAAGCATTTTACAACAAAGCTACAATTTCAGGATGAGCAAAGAATAAAGCAACAGTGCAATGTGGTTGGATATAAACCCACTTACAGCCCATAATTGCCGAGCAATCTCTTTAAGGACCGAAGGCTCGTAAAATAATTGCTAGCATTAAATCCAGCAAAAACTAGACACAGAAGCAAAATGGTATAAAGGGAGATCAAAGCTTCACTCAGGAGGAACATTAAACTACCTTCAAAACCAGGAAGTGTGATTAGGTTTGAATCAGCCATGCTCGGCATTTCCAGTTTAAAAGAATCCCACTCATGGAAGCTCTGGATGAGGAGACTCATTGTGTACAGTGTCGCATGAAGTTTTCAGATGAGTGCTCTGAAATCAAAGTTAATTGCCAGGTGTGGTAGAGCCTCTAACCTGCTGAATCTACTGAAGGTATGATATGGAGGTGCCAGTGTTGGACTGGGGAGGGCAAAGTCAGAAGTCGCACGAGACCAGATTGTAGTCCAACAGGTTTATTTTAAATCACAAGTTTTCAGCGTGCTGCTCGTTCATCAGATCACCTTATGAAGGAACAGTGTACAGCACGGAAACAGGCCATTCGGTCCAACTCATCCATGCTGACCAGGTTTCCTAAACTGAACTAGTCCCATTTGCTTCTGTTTGGCCCATATCCCTTGAAACCTTTCCTATACATGTTCCTGTCCAAATGTCTTTTAAATGTTGTAACTGTGGTTACCTCCATCACTTCCTCTGGCAGTGTGTTCCATTCTGTGTGAAAAGGTTGCCCCTCAGATCCCTTTTAAATCGTTCACCCCTCACTTTAAACCTTTTGGACCCCGCTACCCTGGGAAAAAAAGACCTCGGCTATTCACCCTATCCATGCCTCTCATAATTTTATAACAACTGTAAAATCACCCCTCAGGCTCCTACACACCATGAAAAAAAGTCCCAGCCTATCCAGCCTCTCCTTATAACTCAAACCTTCCAGTCTTGGTCACATCCTTGTAATTTTTTTTGCATCCTTTCCAGTTTAATAACATCCTTCCTGTAGAAGGGTGACCAGAATGTGCAGTACTCCAAATATGGCCTTACCAGTACCTTGTACAGCTGTAATATGACATCCCAACTCCTGTACTCAATGCTCTGACCAATGAAGGCAAGCGTGCCAAATGCCTTCTTCAGCATCCTGTCTACCTACGACTCCACTTTCAAAGAGTTATGGACATGCATCCCTACGTCTCTCTGTTTGACAACACTCCTCAGGGCCCTATCAGTAACTGTGTAAGTCTTGCCCTGGGTTTCCTTCCCAAAATGCAACACCTCACATTTATCTAAATTAAACGCCATCTGCCACTCCTCGGCCCATTGGCCCAGTTGATTGAGATCCTGTTGTACTCTTAGGTAACCTTTTTCATTGTCCATTATACCTCCAATTTTGGTGTCATCTGTAAGCTTACTAACCATGCCTCCTGTATTCTCATACAAATTGTTTATACAAATGGCAAACACCAGTGGACCTGGCACCAATCCTTGCAGCACACTGCTGGTCACAGGCCTCTAATCCAAACAACAACATTCTGCCATCACCCTCTGTCTTCTACTGTAAAGCTTATGTTGTATCCAGTTGGCTGGCTCTCCCTGGATCCCATGTGATCTATCTTTATGAACCAGTGTACCATACAGAACCTTGTTGAAGGTCTTGCTGAAGTCTATATAGACAACATCTACTGCTCTGCCTTCATCAATCTTCTTGGTCTCCTCTTGAAAAAACTCAATCAAATTTGTGAGACACAGTCTCCCATGCACAAAGTCACATTGACTATCCCCAATCAGACCTTGTCTTTCCAAATGCATGTAGATCCTGTCCCTCAGAATCCCCTCCAACAACTTACCCATCACTGACATCAGCCTCACTGGTCTATAGTTCCCTGGCTTTTCCACTTTTCTTAAATAATGGCACCACAATAGCCACTCTCCAGTCTTCCACACCTCACCCATGGCTCTCGATGATACAAATATCTCAGCAAGGGGCCCCATGTTCTTTTCCAGGAACAAAAACAGAAGTTGCTGGAAAAGCTCTGCAGGCCTGGCAGCATCTGTGAAGAGAAAATCAGAGTTTACATTTCGGGTCCGGTGACCCTTCCTCAGAACTGTTAACTCTGATTTCTCTTCACAGATGCTGCCAGACCTGCTATGCTTTTCCAGCAACTTCTGTTTTTGTTCCTGTTTTACAGCATCTGCAGTTCTTTTAGTTTTTCTCCCACATTTTTCCCCAACTTCCCACAATGACCTGGGATTCATTTGATCAGGTTCCTGGGGTTTAGTTATTTTTATGTTTTAAGGCCTCTAGCACCTCCTCTTCAGTAATGTGGACTCTTTTCAAGACATCACTATTTATTTCCCCGAGTTCCCTAGCTTCTATGTCTTTCTCCACAGTAAATACTGAGGTGAAATATTCATTTAGTATCTCACCCATCTCCTGTAGCTCCATATGTAGATGGCCTCGTTGATCTTTAAGGGGCCTTATTCTCTCACTAGTTACTCTTTTGTCCTTAATATACTTGTAGAATCTCTTTGGATTCTCCTTAACCTTAACTGCCAAGTCTATCTCATGTCCAGTTTCTGCCCTCCAGATTTCCCTCTTAAGTATACTCCTACATCTCCTATACACCTCAAGTGATTCACTTTATCCCAGCTGTCTCTACCTGAAATATGCCTCCTTCTTTTTCTTGACCAGAGCCTCAATATCTCTAGACATCCAATGTTCCCTACTCCTGCCAGCCTTATCCTTCACACTAACAAGACCATGCTGTCCCTGAACTCTCATTATCTCACTTTTGAACGTCTCCGACTTGCCAGATGTCCCTTTATCAGTGAACATGGTCCCGAAATCAACTTTTGGAAGTTCCTATCTCATACCATCAAAATTGGCTTTGTCCAAATTGGGAATGTTAATTTATGGTCCAGGTCTATCCTTTGTCATAACCATTTTAAAACTAACAGAATTATGGTCACTGGTTGCAAGGTGCTCCCCCACTAACAGCTCAGTCACTTGTCCTGCCTTATTTCCCAAAAGAAGGTGGGGTTTTGCCAATTGTCTAGTAGGACCATCTACATAGTGCTTGAGAAAGTTTTCTTGAACACACTTAAATTCACCCCCTTCCAAGCCCTTAACACTAAGGAAGTGCCAATCTATGTTTGGAAAGTTAAAATCCTCTGCTATTACAACCCTATTATTCTTACAGCTATCTGCAATTTTCTTACATTTTTGTTCTTCATTTTCTCGCTGTATTTTGAGGGGGGGGGGGTGCTATGGCGCAATCCTATCAAAGTGATCACCCCCTTCTTATTTTTAAGTTCTACCCAAACAACTTCACTGGATAACAAGGTGCAGAGCTGGATGAACACAGCAGGCCAAGCAGCATCACAGGATCAGAAAGGCTGACGTTTCGGGCCTAGACCCTTCTTCAGAAATGGGAGAGGGGAAGGGGGTTCTGAAATAAATAGGGAGAGAGGGGGAGGCGGATAGAAGATGGATAGAGGAGAAGATAGGTGGAGAGGAAACAGACAGGTCGAAGAGGCGGGGATGGAGCCAGTAAAGGTGAGTGTAGGTGGCGAGTTAGGGAGGGGATAGGTAGGTCCAGGGAGGACGGACAGGTCAAGGGGGCGGGATGAGGTTAGTCAGCAGGAGATGAGGGTGCGGCTTGAGGTGGGAGGAGGGGATAGGTGGGAGGAAGAACAGATTAGGGAGGTGGGGACAAGCTGGGCTGGTTTTGGGATGCGGTAGGGGGAGGGGAGATTTTGAAGCTTGTGGTCTACTGCATCCGCTGTACCTGTTGTGGCCTCCTCTACATCGGGGAAACCAAGCGGAGGCTCGGGGACCGCTTTGCAGAACACCTACGCTCGGTTCGCAATAAACAACTGCACCTACCAGTCGCGAGCCATTTCAACTCCCCCTCCCATTCCTCAGACGACATGTCCATCCTGGGCCTCCTGCAGTGCCACAACGATGCTACCCAAAGCTTGCAGGAACAGCAACTCATATTCCGCTTGGGAACCCTGCAGCCCAATAGTATCAATGTGGATTTCACAAGCTTCAAAATCTCCCCTTCCCCTACCGCATCCCAAAACCAGCCCAGCTCGTCCCCGCCTCCCTAACCTGTTCTTCCTCCCACCTATCCCCTCCTGACACCTCAAGCCGCACCCCCATCTCCTACCTACTAACCTCATCCCGCCCCCTTGACCTGTCCATCCTCCCTGGACTGACCTATCCCCTCCCTACCTCCCCACCTACACTCACCTTTACTGGCTCCATCCCCGCCTCTTCGACCTGTCTGTTTCCTCTCCACCTATCTTCTCCTCTATCCATCTTCTATCCACCTCCCCCGCTCTCCCTATTTATTTCAGAACCCCCTTCCCCTCCCCCATTTCTGATGAAGGGTCTAGGCCCGAAACGTCAGCCTTTCTGCTCCTACAATGCTGCTTGGCCTGCTGTGTTCATCCAGCTCTGCACCTTGTTGTCTTGGATTCTCCAGCATCTGCAGTTCCTACTATCTCTCTTTCAACTTCACTGGATGATCCCCCAGGATATCCTCTGTAAGTACTGCCATGATGTTTTCCCTAATCAAAAATGCCAATCCCCCTCCTCTCTTGCCTCCCCTTCTATCCTTTCTATAGCATCTGTACTGCCAAAAATTAAGCTGCCAGTTCTGCCCCTCCCTCAGCCACGTATCCCAATCCCATGTACCCATCATGGCCTGAGTTCATCTGCCTTACCTGTAAGGCATTTTGCATTGAAATAAATACAATTTAATTCATCAGACTTCCCATGTTCCCTGCCATGTTCTTGCCTGCCTTGTTTATTTAACTTGCTTTCTTTAATTTCTGTACCAGCCTCAACCTTCTCTCTTGTCTCACTGCTGCTTAAGATAGCCCCACACCTCCTCAATACTAATTTAAACTCTCGTGAGTTGCTCTAGCAAATCTCCCCGCCTGGATATTGATTCCCCTCCAGTTCAGTTGCAACCTCTTGTACAGGTCTCTTCTGCCCCGGAGGAAATCCCAATGATCCAAAAATCTGAATCCCTGTCCCTTGCACAAGCTCCTCAGCCACGCATTCATCTGCTCTATCCTCTTTTTCCTATTCTCACAAGCACATGACACCAGGAGTAATCCAGAGATTACTAATTTGAGGTCCTGCTTTTTAACCTCTTGCCTAACTCCCATTTCTCACTCTGCAGGACCTCATCCCTTTTTCTACCGATATTGTTGGTACCAATGTGTATAATGACCTCTGGCTGCTCACGCACCCCTTTGAGAATTTGCTGTAACTGCTCAGAGACGTCCTTGACCCTGGCACCAGGGAGGCAACACACCATCCTCCAGTCTCGCTGTTCGGCCGCAGAAACATCTGTCTGTGTCCCTGACCAGAGAGTCCCTGATCACAATTACTCACTTGGACTTTGCCATTCCTTGCATTACAGCAGAGCCCGTCATGGTGTCACAGACTGCTGCTATTTTCTCCACTGTGGTTATCTCCCTCAACAGTATCCAAAACGATATACTTGTTTATGAGGGGTTTAGCCACAGGAGACTCCTGTACTACCTGCCTGCCTCTGCTGATGGTCACCCATCTACCTGACTGTACCTGCAGTGTGGCCACCTCCCTATAACTCCCATCTATCACACTCTCTGCTTTTTGTAACCTTCCAATTGATCCATGCAGTCTGAGAGGAGCTGCAGCCAGACACACTTCCTGCAGAGTCGATACAGTGTGGAGCTGGAGGAGCACAGCAGGTCAGACAGCATTGGAGGAGCAGGAAATTCGATGTTTTGGGCTGAGACCCTTCATCAGGACTGGGGAGGAGGAAGGGAGCTCAGGGAGGGGGCTGGGGCTGGGGGAAGGTAGGTGGGGTGGTGATAAGTGGATGCAGGTAGGAAACGGTAGAGATTGGTCAGTGGGATGGGTGGGGCAGATGGATGAGAAGGAAGGTGGACAGGTTGAGGGGAATGGGAAGGGATAGTTTATCACAGTCACAGAGTCTATCATCATTAAGGTACAAGTGCGGCACTGTCTAACCTACCCTCACTTGTTGACTCCATCCTTGATGCAGTGTTAACAGTATCTCCGAATAAACAGTAACGAGGCATTTTGGTTCCAACCACACCAGCCACCAGTGGACCTTTCAAACAAACAGACAAAAAGAAATTCAGTTGTGTGTTCTGACAGCTAGCTTCCATGTTTGAGGAGAGTGATGGACTAGGAAACCAAGAGGCCAGAAATATTAATCCTGGACGCTTATTGTGAAACACCAACCATAACTTCTTTCAATGAAATGAGATAGGGAAAGTAACAAAATTATCTCAAGTTCTCACTTTTGAAAAGTCACTGGGTACACTGCTGGGAAATACCAGTGGACATGAACAATCTGTGTTTTTAGCAGAGATAACAAGGTGTAGAGCTGGATGAACACAGCAGGCCAAGCAGCATTGGAGGAGCAGGAAGGCTGACGTTTCGGGCCTAGACCCTTCTTCAGAAATTGGGGAGGGGAAGGGGGTTCTGAAATAAATAGGGAGAGAGGGGGAGGCGGATAGAAGATGGATAGAGGAGAAGATAGGTGGAGAGGAAACAGACAGGTCGAAGAGGCGGGGATGGAGCCAGTAAAGGTGAGTGTAGGTGGGGAGGTAGGGAGGAAATAGGTCAGTCCAGGGAGGACGGACAGATCAAGGGGGCGGGATGAGGTTAGTAGGTAGGAGATGGTGGTGGGGCTTGAGGTGGGAGGAGGGGATAGGTGGGAGGAAGGACAGGTTAGGGAGGCAGGGACGAGCTAGACTGGTTTTGGGATGCGGTAAGGGGAGGGGAGATTTTGAAGCTTGTGAAGTCCACATTGATACCATTGGGCTGCAGGGTTCCCAAGCAGAATATGAGTTGCTGTTCACAAGCTTCAAAATCTCCCCTCCCACTACTGCATCCCAAAACCAGCCCAGCTCGTCCCTGCCTCCCTAACCTGTCCTTCCTCCCACCTATCCCCTCCTCCCACCTCAAGCCCCACCACCATCTCCTACCTACTAACCTCATCCCGCCCCCTTGATCTGTCCGTCCTCCCTGGACTGACCTATTTCCTCCCTACCTCCCCACCTACACTCACCTTTACTGGCTCCATCCCCGCCTCTTCGACCGGTCTGTCTCCTCTCCACCTATCTTCTCCTCTATCCATCTTCTATCCGCCTCCCCCTCTCTCCCTATTTATTTCAGAATGCCCTTCCCCTCCCCCATTTCTGAAGAAGGGTCTAGGCCCGAAACGTCAGCCTTCCTGCTCCTCTGATGCTGCTTGGCCTGCTGCGTTCATCCAGCTCTATGCCTTGTTATCTCAGATTCTGCAGTTCCTACTATATCTGTGTTTTTAATGTTGTAAAGTAGCCAACATACTTCACAGGAGCATGCTGAGTCAGAAACTGGCCACAGGGCTGAAGTATTAGGATGGGGCGGATCTAAAACTTTAATCAAAAAGGTAGGTTTTCAGCAGAAGATCTATAGCTGTCTAAGGAGGAAATTTCAAGCCTTAGATACGGCCACTATTGGCAGAGCAAAGGAAGAATGCAATGGACAAGACTCTAGAATTGGAGGAACTCTGGTTATAGTTGCATATCTCAGAGCTCACCCATATGTTCATTGAGTTAGAGACAAAAAACAAACTGCAGATGCTGGAATCCAAGGTGGGCTGGAAGAACGCAGCAAGTCAGGCAGCATCTGGAGGAAAGAAGAAGTCAACGCTTCAGGTATTACCCTTCTTCAGGACAGCATGAAGAAGGGTCATACCCAATACATTGACTTCTTTCTGCCAGATGCTGCCTGGCTTGCTGTGTTCTTCCAGCCTCCTGTTTGTCAACCACATATTTATTAAGTCTTGTCTAACTGGCCTTGTGTATAAAGTATGCTGATGGGCCGAGATTTTATCCATCAAAGAAATGCCATCAAGAAGGCAGCAGCAAGAGAAGGAGCCATCTTTCAACGCTAAGTAATTGTTGACAGAGCTATTGGACAGCTTCCAGTTGCTGAGATTTCTAATAACTTGTCAATTACCTGGCATCTGAGAAACTGAAATGAGTTACCTGAGTGTATGCCCGCCCTGATTTTCAACTTAACATCTGGTTTGTGTGGGATGATGAATGAAGAGCAGACTGCAACTAAATCCAATGCCATGCTTGCAATCTCAGCCGCATGCTTGATGCCATTCTCTTTCGGCACTCCTGATACCACCATATCTGGGGGCAGAAACAGCAGAGACAGCATCAGCAGAATGGACAGCTCTGTCGGAGTGCAGGTGCCTTCTTTCTGCATTTCTCAAAGGGGTTTTCTGCTCAATCCAACCTGCAGTTGAATGAACACCAGCCCATCTTATACTGTGAAACAACAAACATTCATTTGTAAAGCCCCATTGTTAAGTTGAAACATCCCAAGGCACGTTGCAGGAAAGATTATCTGGCAAAATTAGACTACTCAGGAAGATGTTAAGTCAAACAGCAGATTAAAGAGTATATTAACAAACTTTCTTTCATTCATTCACAAGATGTGGGCATTTGTAGTTAGGCCAGCATTTTATTGGCCATCCCCAATTGCCCCAAAGGGCATTTAAGAGTCAACCCCATCACTGTGGGTCTGCAGTGACATGTAGGCCAGACCAAGTAAGGATGGCAGCTTCCTTCCATAAAGAACATTAGTAAACCAGATGGGTTTTTCCAACAATCAATTTATTAGACTCTTATTTTTATTGAATTCAAATTACACCACCCACCATGGCAGGATTCAAACATGGGTCCCCAGAACATTACCTGTGTCGCTGGGTTAACAGTCCAATCATTGTACCACTAGGCCGTCAACTCCCCTATACATTTTAGAAGAGGTGATACGTGAAATATTTAGGGAGGGAATTCCAAATTTTAGGGTCCAGGCTGTTGAAGACACATCAGCTAATGTTGTAGGGCATTTTATAGATGGTACCCATTGCAGCCACTGTATTGGACAGATTGAAAGCTGGAGGTGATAAAGGCATGCTAATCAAGACTGGATTGTGCTGGAATGTCACTGCAATGTCCTGGATTGTGTCAAGCTTCTTGAGAGTGACCTCCTACATACAAAAGGTAGAACAATTTCAGAAGATTCCTAAAACAGAATGGATGTAACAGCCTTTCATATTTTCAGCAAGTCATCACTTAAAGTCAACATTCTGAAAATCACAACTTTAAATCAAACAAACTTTACGTGAAAAGTTGGTTCCCATGGGAATCAATGGTAAAACCGGAGTTATGTCGGATCGAGCCTTCTTTCAAAAAAACATTAAACATTATGCCCTGTAAGTTGTAATTCTTTACATTGCTAAATTCCTGTACTGGTAATTGAAATTACTTTGAAAACAAAATAAATGCTAAAATATAAAGGATAAATGTATCTTTCTGACTGTGGTTTGCAATCGGGACTGAGGTCAGTCATAGCAACGTCTTGCTGGCCAGGGGGAAAGGGAGAAGGACATGTGAATGCAGTGGCTAGAAGAACAGGTCAGAAGTTAGAAATCCTGTGGTGAGTAACTCGCCTCCCGACTCCTCAAAGCCTGCCCACCATCCACAGGATACCTGCCTGACAACCCATTTCAGTTCACTGCAGCCATGTAAATATTGCAGCAACAAGAGCAGATCAGAGGCTAGGATTCCTGCAGTAAATAACTGATTCCCTGACTCCCCAAATTCTGTCCATGAGACAGGTCAGGAATGTGATGGAATATTCCCCACTTACCTGGATGGGTGCAGCTCCAACTACACTCAAGAAGCTTGACACCCCATTCAGAAAAACAATCTGTCTACAAGCAAGACAACAAGGTATAGAGCTGGATGAACACAGCAGGCCAAGCAGCATCATAGGAGCAGAAAGGCTGACGTTTCGGGCCTAGACCCTTCATCAGAAATCTACTATCTCTCTACAAGCAATTGGTCCTAAGTGATTTTTCTCTTATTTTGAAACTTTTCCCTGGTTCTAGACTCTCCAAACAAGGGAAACATCTGACCCACTTCTACCCTCTTTTTTCAATGAAATCACCTCATTCTTCTGAGGAACCAACTTGCATTGTACTCCCTTGATGGTAACAATATCCTTCGTAAAAATAAGGGGATGAAATCCAGACACAATACTCCAGCAGTAATCTAACAATTGAAGTAAGACTTTGTTACAGCTGAATGCAAATCCTCCTACAATAAGGATTAACATATCATTAGACTGCTGTACCTGCAAATTCGCCTTCAGTGACTTACTGACAGACACCTAGTTCCCTTTGTACACATACACATTGTAACCTCTGTACATTGGTTCTTCCTAACAAACTAGTTACACTGACACTTTTCACATTCTATCTGCCATATCTTTGTCCATTCACTAGGTCCATCCAAATCTTTTGGAAACCACTTTGCATCTCCTTCACAGTGCACATTCCTACTTAGCGTTGCATCATCATTGGAAATATTACTCAGAGATAGTAAGAACTGCTGATGCTGGAGTCAGAGATAACAGTGTGGAGCTGGAGGAACACAGCAGATCAGGCTCTGAAGAAGAGTCCCGACCCAAAACGTCAACTTTCCTGTTCCTCCGCTGCTGCCTGGCCTGCTGTATTCCTCCAGCTCCACACTGTGCTATCTTGGAAATATTACTGTTGTGATTGCAACGAGATCAGTCAGGTGGACTTCTTAGCATATGAGTTTCCTGATTGGCTCAGATGAACAGCCCCAATCAGGGAGTCCTGGCTGACAGATATAAACAGGGGAGTCAGACGTTCTAGTCATTCTGTGAGCTATGCATGTGTAAATAAAGGGTGATATGGTGATGGAATACTGGTCTCTGTGCAGTTATTTCAATTACATTTGATTGGCACTTCCAAATGATTGTCGTATTCAGTGAACAGCTTGGGTCCAAGTATTGATCCTTGTGATACCCCACTAGTCACATCCTGTCAGTGTGAGAATGCCTCATTTATTCCTGCTCTGTGTTGGCCAATTGTTATTCCATGCCATCCATCATCTCCTGCCTCATGTGCTTTAGTTTTGCTGTAGAACCTTCTGTGGTTTTCTTTTTATCAAAAGCCTTCTGAAAATTCAAAACTTTTTACATCCACCAACTTCTTATTCATTCACAGGATGTAGGTGATGTTAGCTGGACCAGAATTTATTGCCTGTCCCTAGCTGCCCTTCAGAAGGTGGGAGTGCGCTGCCTTCTTGAACCGCTGCAGTCCATGTGCTGTAGGTAGACCCACAATGACATTTTTCAGGATTTTCAGATCCAGGGACAGTGAAGGACAGTGAGTGGCTTGGAGGGGAACTTGCAGGGGGTGGTGTTCCTATGTATCTGCTGCCCTTGTCCTTCTAGAAAGAGGATGTTATGAGTTTGGAAGGTGCTAGTGAAGGAAACGAGGTGAGTTGCTGCAGACCATCTTGCAGGTGCTGCTACTCAGTGTCGGTGGTGAAAGGAGTGAATATTGAAGGATGTGAATGGGGTGCCAATCAAGTGGGCTGCTTTATCCTGGATAGTGCTGATTTTCTGAAGTGACCCCCTAAGCTTGATTGATATGATTTATGAAGCTCAATCAAATAGAGCAGCAGGAACTGTGTTTTACATTTAGTCTAGCTTTTTTCCAACTGAATTAAAGCTGAACCAGAGAGAGGAAACTAGGAAATCACTCAGTGTATTTAAAACCTTCACAAAACAGTCCTTAAATTTTTCCTTCTGAAGGGAACCAAAGGCCAACTCTCATTTCCATTAAAAGATAATCACAGCATTAATTTTTTTTTCGTGGTGACCTTTATTCTTTCGGTTTGGATACAGTAAGGACGTTTGTCAATTTGCTACAAAGAACTTCTAATGTTGTGCTGGCACTTTGATTGTTCCCTTCGCATCTGACTGGGAACACAGAGCCTCATACAGAATCATTAAATGTTATCATTAACACACAGCAGCAGGAATAGCCATAGCTGTTTGACAGGAATAGTTTTTGTTGTGAACTGCAATAGACACTTGTGATATTGTATGCCTGGAATATCTAGAATTCTTACATCTGTCCCTGTGTTCTTTGTGAACCGTAATGTAATATGCATGAAACTGGTCTCATATAATATAGTCAGCCAAATAATGATAAGTGGTGTCAAATAGGTTAACCATTTTATTTAAGAGCTGTCTTTATGCTTTGCAGCAGGGATTTATGATGCAAATCCATCTGCAGAGAATGAAGACTTATTTAAAAAACATTCTTCCTGGCTCAAAGCCACACAGTCAAAGGCCAAAAATAACAGTAAATTGAGTTTTAGCCCAGTATAATCTAGTCATTGTTGGAAGAATTTGCTCACTGTGTATTGTCCTTAAGTCATCCAGACATATATAAGGCACAAAGTGTTCTTAAAAATCTCCAATAAAATTGAGTCCACAGCACAGAAACAGATCCCTTAATCTAATTGGCCTGTACTGTTGTTTATACACGTCACAGGCCTCTTTAAGGGACCCTCTTGGTATGGAGTCATACAGCACAGAAACAGACCAGCCAATCCATGCCAAATATGATCCAAAACTAAACTAGTCCCATCTGCCTGCTCCTGGCCCATGTGTCTCTAAACCTTCCTATTCATGTACTTATCCTTCTCTTTCTCCCTCTTGGCTTTATCCAGCTTACCCTTAAATGCATCAACCTTTATCATCTCAACTACTCCAAAGGGGAACCAGTCCCACATTTTCCCTAAACGAGAAAACCAAAGAACTGCAGATGCTGGAAATCAGAAACAAAAACAGAAATTGCTGGAAAAACTCAGCAGGCCTGGCAGCACCTGTGGAGAGAAAACAGAGTTAATGAAATGTAATTCTGCTTTCTCTGCACACATGTTGCCAGACCTGTTGAGTTTTCCCAGCAATTTCTGTCTCTGTTCCACATTTCCCTTACTCTCACAGTAAAAAAGCCTCCTTTGAAATCACAGTTGGATTTATCAATGTCTGTTTTTATTTATTTCAACTGCCTTAAATTTACACAGGTTGACACCATTTCTCTGCTTTTCAATTCTATCCCTCCAGAAATCTCCCTGTTATCTGAAAGATGTTGTATGAATGCAATGGGAGGAATTACTATGATTTCTGCATGGCTAAGTGATTGATCTCCAAGATGAAGCACTCAACACAGTGTGGAGCTGGAGGAACACAGCAGATCAGGCAGCAGCAGACCAGCAGGAAAGTCAACATTTCAGGTTTACACACTTCTTCAGGAAGGGTCCCGACCCGAAACATCGACTTTCCTGCTCTCTCTGATGCTGCCTGACCTGCTGTGTTCCTCCAGCTCCACACTGTATTACCTCTGACTCTAGCATCTGCAGTTCTTGCTATCTCCAAGATAACAACACTCCTCAACACACTCTCTCTCATAGTAATTAGTTGGAGGTTTTTGATAGGAATGTCCTTTGCGCTGCTTGCTTCATAAATGAATAAATCCTAGGTCCAAGTTCTCACATCTCAGGCTACATGTAAGCTGAACAGAAAGACATATTTAAACAACATTTAGCGGTAATCATTACAGAGACAGGGGCATGACCTCTGCGTACTGCATTATGCATGTTAACGTTCAGGGGTGGGTGGAAGGGGGAAGGGTCAGTTAGATACACTGGGCAGATAGCCAACACTGGTAAACCTGACAATCTGAAAGTTCAAACTGGGGAAAACCTAGAATCTTAGAGTCCCTAGAGTGTGAAAGCAGGTTATTCACCCCCTTTTGTCCACACTGACCCTCCGAAGAGCATCCCATCCAGACCCACACGCACCCTATCCCTGTAACCCTGCATTTCCCGTGGCTAATCCACCGAACCTGCACATCTTTGGACTGTGGGAAGAAAACACAGCACCCGGAGGAAACCCGCACAGACTCGGGAAGAATGTGCAAACTCCACACAGACTGGAATTGAACCTATGTCCCTAAGTGCTTGTGAGGCAGCAGTGCTAACTACTGAGCCATCATTCTGCCCTAAATAGTGGGCCTGGCTAGTATCCCAACAGGAAATCCATTGTCCCAGTAACTATTAATTCCTTCATTGTTTTTGTCCCCTGCAGATTCAGAAGGAACTGGTATCTGCTCTCAGTTGCTCTGGGTGGGCTGGATAAGAATAAAATGGACGGCACTCATGGCAGATAAACGTAAAATTTGTAGATTAGTATAGGACACATACCAAGTGAGATAAAGCTGTATCTTGACCCTAACAATAAGAACCAAGTTACCAAACAGGACTACTTGTATGCCAAATGGCAGAAGCAGCAAGTGACAGAGCTAAGTGATCCCACAACCAACGGATCAGATCTAAGCTCTGCAGTCCTGCCACATCCAGTGGTGAATGGTGGTGGACAATTAAACAACTCACTGGAGGAGGAGGCTCCACAAATATCCCCATCCTCAATGATGGAAGAGCCCAGCACATCAGTGCAGAAGATAAGGCTGAAGCATTCGCAGCAACCTTCAGCCAGAAGTGCCGAGTGGACAATCCATCTCAGCCTCCTCCAGTGATCCCTATCACAGATACCAGTCTTCAGCCAATGCAATTCATTCCATGTGGTATCAAGAAACGGTTGGAAACACTGGATACTGCAAAGGCTATGGGCCCTGACAACATTCCGGCAATAGTACTGAAGGCTTGTGCTCCAGAACTTGCCGCTCCCCTAGCCAAGCTGTTCCAGTACAGTTACAACGCTGGTATCTATCTGACAATGTGGAAAATTGCCCAAATATGTCCTGTACGTAAAAAGCAGGACAAATCCAACCCGGCCAATTACCACCCCATCAGTCTACTCTCGATCATCAGTAAAGTGATGGAAGGTGTCACTAACAGAGCTATCAAGCAGCACCTGCTCAGCAATAACCTGCTCAGTGACGCCCAGTTTGGGTTCCGCCAAGGCCACTCAGCTCCTGACCTCATTACAGCCTTGGTTCAAACATGGACAAAAGAGCTGAATTCCAGAGGTGAGGTGAGAGTGACAGCCCTTGATATCAAAGCTGCACTCAACCGAGTGTGGCATCAAGGAGCCCTAGCAAAATTGCAATCAATGGGTGTCAGGGGCAAACTCTTCATTGGTTCGAGTTATACCTGACACATAGGAAGATGGTCGTGGTTGTTGGGGGTCAGTCATTTCAGCTCCAGGACATCTCTGCAGGAGTTCCTCAGGATAGTGTCCTAGGCCCAACCATCTTCAGCTGCTTCATCAATCATCTTCCCTCCATCATAAGGTCAGAAGTTGGGATGTTCGCTGATGATTGCATAATGTTCAGCACCATTCATGACCCCTCAGATACTGAAGCAATCTATGTCAAAATGCATCAACACCCAGAAAACATCTATGTTTGGGCTGATACAAGTTCCAGGCAATGACTATTTCCAGTAATGTAGAATCTATCCATTGCTCCTTGACATTCAATGGTATTGCCATCATTGAATCCCCCATGATCAACATCCTGAGGGCTTACCACTAACCAGAAACTCAACTGGACTCATCATAGAGATACATTGGCTTCAACAGGTCAGAACCTGGGAACCCTGTCACTCACCTCCTGACTCTCCAAAGCCCGTCCGCCATCTACAATACACAAATCAGGAGTGTAATGGAATACTCCCAACATTCTGGGATGAATACAGCTCCAACAACACCCAAGAAACTTGACACCTTCCAGGTCAAAGTGTCCAGTTTAATTGGTATCATATCCACTCCCTCCACCACCCACACTCAGTAGCAGCAGTGTGTACTATCTACAAGATGCATTACAGAAATTCACCAAAGATCCTCACACAGCACCTTCCAAATCTATGACCACTTCCATCTAGAAAGACAAGAGCCTCAGATACATGGGAGGACCACCACCTGCAAGTTCCCCTCCAAGTGTCTCACCATCCTGACATGGAAACATATCACCATTCCTTTAGTGTCGGTGGATCAAAATTCCAGAATTCCCTGGGCATTGTGGGTCTACTTACAGCACATGGACTGCGGCGGTTCTAGAAGGCAGCTCATCTCCATCTTCCCAAATGCAACTAGGATGGTCATTAAAGTGGGCCTAGCCATCAAGGCCCAGATCACATGAATAAATTTGCATATAAAAGCTTGGTGAACATGTAATTGTTTTGACAATTGTTTCTTTAAAAAAAACTTTTTAAATTTATGCCAAAAACAAACGGATGAGTTTATATGCTTGAATAAGAAGTAATCCTAGTCCTTGAGTTCTGGTGTCCTTGACCTGGAAATCGTACCCATAAAAAGGAAGTTAACATGCTGATATTATGCAGTGCTCAGACAAGGATAGAGAGACCAAGCAAAGAGAGGTGTTGTGACTTGAGAATTTTCCATAACGGAGTGAGCCTCATTGGGATGTCTGCACAGGCAGTACCTTGATTTCATGGAAGCTGCTACCTATGGAAAATTGGTTAACTCTTGAAGGAAATGCATTGGACTTCAGCTTGAATAGAGAGTTCAGCTGGAACTGGAATTCAGCCTGGAAGGACTGCATTTGAAAATGGAATCATTGTGATCCTCGAGGCTGGAGCAGTGTCAGAGGGACAGTGGCTGCAGTGTCAGTGGCATGGACTGGGACTCCTGGCAGCAACTAAACTGTGCAATGCAGCATGCTTCCAGTAACATGCCAGGCCTCAAGTGATCGTGCAATAAGATGGAGTATGAGATCCTTATACATAGATAATTCTACTTACTTTCTGATTTCTGCTGCAAGGATCTTTCACATCGTGAAGCTCCAAGGTTTATTGAACAGTGCGGTTTTATTTAAACTAACATTTTGGTCACAATGACCTTTTGCTAGATCGTATTGATGCCTGTAGAAAACCTCAGGCCTTAGTCCACATATTGAGAGATGAGGAGAGCATACTTTAAAGCTGAGATGAGGAGAAATTTCTTCACCCAGAGAGTGGTTAGTCTGTGGAATTCTCTGGTTGAGGCCAAAACATCGAATGTTTTCAAGAAGGAGTTAGACATAGTTTTTCAGGCTGAAGGGGTTGAAAGGACATGGGGAGAATAAGGGAACAGGGGAATGAGTTGGATGATCAGCCATGATCCTATAGAATGGTGGAGCAGGCTCGAAGGGCCAAATGACCTACTCCTGCTCCTGTTTTCTATGTTTTTATGCTATGATGCAATGATTAATTCATGAAAATGACTCTTAAAGCATATGACATTCTGACCATAACAAGCGCCAGTTTTGCATGGGCAATGAGGAACAGGCAATGAATGAGCCAGCGACATCCACATCTCCTGAATGAAGAATTTTCAAAAACCCAAAACAGGCATCTGATACACTCCTAAGACTCCCTACATATCCTAATAAGGGGCCTGAGGTTTTCTACAGGCATTAATGCGATCTATCAAAAGGTTGTCGTGACCAAAATGTTAGTTTAAATAAAACTACATTGTTCAATAAACCTTGGAGCTTCACTATGTGAAAGATCCTTGCAGCAGAAATCAAAAAATAAGTAGAATTTTCTGTGAAATGGCTTCATGCAGTTACCTGACTGTAAAATAAACTTACATGCATCTCCAATTGTCTCAACTTTGTAGACGTCATAGTTATCAATGATAGCATCGAAGCAGGTGTAGAGTCTGTTGAGGAAATCCACCACCTGGTAAGGAGTGCTGGCACTGGAGAGCTGAGTGAATCCAACAATATCACTTTGAAGGAGAAAAACATACAAGGAGCTCTTAGTTTCGAACACATAAAAATTCGTGATGAGTTTGTCATACAGAACTGGCTGAAAAGGTGGTGAAGAATGTCACTCACTGGGACATTCATAACAAATATTATTGTAAAGTGGAACATTTCTATACCGTAAGAAATGGACCTGCTGATTTATAAAGTCCACTTGCCAACCAATCAGCACATTCTTCTCATACAATATAAAAGTGGTGTCTTCTCTTTGCATTGTTATTCTTGTGAAGTGTCCTGTTGAGCGCAGGGGACTGGTTAGCTCAATTGGCTGGACTCATTTCTGATACAGGATTATGCTAATAACATGGGTTTAATTCCTGCACAAGTTCAGGTTACCATGAAGGTCCTAACCTTCTCAACATCTACCCTTACCTGAGACATGGTGAACACCACCAGTTCCCTCTTTCTCTCTAATAAAAGAGCAACCCAATAGTCAGGTAGAACTATGGTGACTTTACCCTTACCTGATGAAAGCATGGCAAAATGAGTCTTTTTTCTGCAAAATTGAAAAACTATGTAAAAGTTAATGAATGGAAGATATAGAAACATAGAAAATAGGTGCAGGGATAGGCCATTTGGCCCTTCGAGCCTGTACCATCATTCAATACGATCATAGCTGATCATGCAATCTCAGTATCCCATTACCGCCCTCTCCCCATACCCCTTGATCCCTTTAGCCACAAGGACCATGTCCAGCTTCCTCTTGAATCTATCCAATGAACTGGCTCCAACAGCTGCCTGTGGGGGAGATTTCCGCAGGTTCACAATTCTGACTAAAGAAATTCTTCCTCACCTCAGTTCTGAATGGCTTACTCCTTATTGTTAGACTGTGACTCCTAGTTCTGGATTTCCCCAACATCAGGAACATTCTTCCTGCATCTAGCCTGTCCAGTCCCATCAGGATTTTATATGTTTCTGTGAGATGCCCCTCTCATTCTTCTAAATTCCAGCAAATACAAGCTCAGTTGATCCAGTTTTCCCTAATATGTCAGGTCTGCCATCCTGGGAATCAGTCTGATGAACCTTCACTGGACTCTCTCAATAGCAAGAATGTCCTTCCTCAGACTAAGAGACCAAAACTGCACACAATACTCAAGGTGTGGCCTTACCAAGGCCCTGTATAACTGCAATAAGGCATCCCTACTCTGATACTCAATCCCTCTCGCTATGAAGGCCAGCATTCCATTAGCTTTCCTCACTGCCTGCTGTACCTGCATGCCAACCTTCAGCGACTGTTCCACCATGACACCCAGCTCTCGTTGCACCTCACCTTTTCCTAAACTGACACCATTCAGATAATATTATTGGAGAATGTAGAGAACATTTTATACATGAGAAGCTCTTATTGAATGGTAGAGCAGGCTTGAAGGGTCTAATGGCCTACTTATGTTCTTAAACAGTAAATGCTGCAAACCTTCAACTAGTCAGGTAGCATCTGCGGAGAAAGTATATGAGTTACCTTTTCACATTAATGACCTCTCATCTGAACTCACTTTTGAAAGTCATCAATTTTAAAATCTAACTTTGTTCCAATCTCCAAAATGTTGCCCTGACCCATGAGTGTATTTTATATTCGTGTTCTCTGTCCAGCACTCTGAAGTTGGGATAGAAACATTGAGATTCGCTTTGCATCCATGCTGCGTTTGCTCTAGGAATGTTTGAATGGAAAGTATTTCATTCTCCTTGGCTAACATCCCACCAGGGTATTGAGTGAAAAGTCCACACTGAACATATAAAGCAGTTTATTTGACATGCATTGACTTGACAGTAACTGAGAAAGCTGCCAGCAGGGACACCAACATCCAAAGCAATGCCACCACCATCATCACAGTGAAATCAGATTCACAACACCCAAATGACACACCTGAAAAACACAGTAGCATTTGAATAACTTTGAGCTTGTGAGGTAATCCCTTGACGAAGATCATCAGCGACTTGCTTTGGTAACATGCCTGGTGACATAAACAACAACAAAACCATCAAATCAGGCTTCACGCACAGCGAATGTTCTGTTCAGAGCAATGACACAGACTGAATGTTAACTGGGGTATCTTACTGTAAAGCAGGGAATCTGTCTTTTGTTTCTCCTGAAGTAGGTCTTGAGTCCTTTCTGCCACAATAGATTCCAGGTGCTTGCTGTACTTTTCCATCTAAGTATAAACAATGGAAGAGTTTTGGTCAAGGTACAATCAGGAGAGGTACTGATTAGCGAATTCTGTAAATGGAGGGGAACAGAAGAACAAAGAACAGTACAGCACAGGAACAGGCCCTTCGATCCTCCAAGCCTGCACTGACACATTTTGCCCTTCCATACTAAAACTGCCTTCACTTACAGGATCCGTATCCCTCTATTCCCTTCCTATTCATGTATACTTCCAGATGCTTCTTGAATGCTGTTATTGTGTCTGCTTCCACCACCTCCTCTGCCAGCACGTTCCAGGCTGTCACCACCCTTTGTGTGAAAAAATTATCTCGCACATCTCTTTTAAACTTTCCCCCCGCACCTTGAACCTGTGCCCCCTCCACCCCCTTATATTTTCCACTCTATCCAGGCCATTCACAATCTTATAAACTTCTATCAGGTCACCCTTCAACCTTTTGCGTTCCAGTGAAAATAAGCCCAGTCTATCCAACCCTTCTTCATAGCTAAAGTCCCCCAAAGAAGGCAAGCATTCCATAAGCCTTTTTTACTACTTTATCTACCTGCGCTGCCACCTTCAGTGATCTGTGGACCTGAACACCCAGATCCTTCTGTATATCAATACTCTGAAGGGCTCTGCCATTCACTGTACAATTTCCATCTCTATTTGACCTTCCAAAATGCATCCCCTCACATTTGTCCAGATTAAACTCCATCTGCATTTTTCTGCCCATGCCTCCAACTGATCTATATCCTGCTGTATCCTCTGACAATCCTCCTCACTGCCCACAACTGCACCAATCTTTGTAGTCCCTAAAACAACAGCCAAAAGTTATTGGATCCCATAATATAAAATGGAATATACCGGAGGCCATCGGCTCTTGTGCTACAGTGATAGTGTCCTGCCTTTGACCTAGGAGGCCCAGGTACAAATCCTATCTGCTTCAGAGGATGTGTCATGCCAGGTCTGTAAATCCTTCCCACAGGCAGGGAATCAGAGTGGGAGGGTCTTCTGGTCAGGCATCCTGCAGAAGGTAATAGCAAACTACCAATGTCCTTCATCCACGAGCATGGACCAATCCAATGGGGCAGTCAAAAAATAAACCAATGAACTGCGGATGCTGTGAATCTGAAACAATATCAGAAGTGGCTGGAAAATCTCAGCAGGCCTAGCAACATCTGTGGAGAGAAATCAGAGTTAACATGTCGGGTCCAGTGACCCTTCCTCAGAGCTCTCAATGGGGAGTCCATGTCTTGACCCTTGGAATTGAGGGCTGAGATGTCAGATTGGGCAGATATTTCTGATTAAGGCACTATTATTGCAACATCAGCATCAATGCACAACGACCAACGGCATGATTGTTAATGAAACCGAGGCTGGGTGAATTGATACATGACCAATGGGAATGTGTAGCCATTCAGCAGCATGGGTTAAAGTAGTTGATATCCATCCCCCTAATCTACACAGGATATTCACCCTGTTTTCACTGTACTCATAACTGCTTTCAAATTATTTTGATCTGGTGTCCTGTGCCAGATTATTTTCATCATTAGTAAATGCTCAACAGACAAGTGTATCTATTTTCCAAACAACATCTACAGAGATATTATAACACAGCCGTGGAACAGGAGTGACTTGAATCCAGGTTGCCTGACTCGGAGATAGGACACTACCACTGCAACAAAAGAGCTGTCCACTTGCACCCACTATTAGACAAGTTTAACCTGAGCCAGGTACAGAATAAATATAGAAATCTACCTCCCCATTGCAATATGACATTGTCTATTAATAGAAAAACAAAATACACTTGATTTTTCCCAAGCTACATGATCCAAATTTAAGCTGTAACCATTTTGTCTGGTGAACATATGCTGATCAAGGCCTGTCTGAGAGACTACACAGTTATTTCACATAAGCTCCTCATTTGGTTGTTTCACTGGTAAGGCTGACATTTGCTGCCAAACATTAGTTTTCCTTGAATCTTTGTCTTTGCACAATTGCAGTCTGTGCGGTGAAGGATTTTCACAGCTCTGTCAGGCCTGGAGATGACAAATGTTTGTCAGTACATTTACAGATCGAATGGCGTGCAATCGGAAGATGCTGTGCGTGACGGTGGAGGTGTTTAGTAAAAAGCAGAATGTTGCAATAGGTTATGCTGTTCTGAGATGATAAGGTAGAATGAAGGGGGAAACTGTGACTCACTGGGCAGCCCTCTGAGACAGGGGCTCCTTATCCTGGAGCACAAAATCAAAGCTCACAGTGTTGAAGGTACGACCTCGCTGCTGTGACATTTAACCAAGCCCCTGTCTACTCTCTCAAGTCAATGTCATAGAGTCATTGAATTGTACAGTACAGAAATAGTCCTTTCAGTCCAGCTCATCCATGCCAATCAAATATCTTAAATTAATCTAGTTCCATTTGCCAACATTTGACCCATATCCCTCTAAATCCTTCCTATTCATCTATCCATTCAGATGTTTTTTAAATGTTGTAATTGTACCAGATCCACCACTTCCTCTGGCACCTTGTTCCATACACACGCCAGCCACTGCGTGATAAAGTTGCTCCTTAAGTCCCTTTTATACCTTTCTCTTTTCACCTTAAAGCTATGCCCTCTAATTTTGGACTCCCCTATCCTGGGGAAAAGACCTTGGCTATTTACCCTATCCATGCCCCTCATGATTTTATAAACCTCTATAAGGTCACCCCTCAGCCTGTGACGCTCCAGGGGAAAAAGCCCCAGTCTGTTCAGTCTCTCCTTATAGCTCAAACCTTCTAAACTTGTCAACATCCTTTTAATCTTTTCTGATCCCTTTCAAGTTGAACAACATCTTTCCTATAGCAGGAAGACCAGAAGTGAACACATTATTCCAAAAGTGACGTAACCAATGTCCTGTATAGCTGTAACATGCCATCCTAATCCTATATTCAGCACACTGACCAATGAAGGCAGGTGTTCCAAACGCCTTCATCAAATATAGCAAGGCACTGTCCAAAGGAGAGGACAGGATTTCACCCCAGTATTCTGGTCAATATATGACCCTTAATAAAAATAATTGGAAGCAGATTATCCAGTTATTATCATATTGCTGTCTGTGGGAGCTTGCTGCACATAAATTGTTTGCCATATTCTTCCCACTATTATGATTATACTTTGGCTGTAAAACCCATCTGGTTCACTAATGTCCTTTAGGGAAGGAAATCTGCCATCCTTACCTGTGACTCCATGTGACTCCAGACCCACCGCAATATGGTTGACTCTTAACTGTCCTCTGGGCAATTATGGATGGGCAATAAATGCTGCAATCATTCCCCTGAATGAATAACCTTAAAAAGTGCATTGGGGTGACACAAGGCTATAAAAGGCACTACCTTAAGGCAAATTGTCCTGTGTATCTGTGAATCTATTCTGTGTCACACCATGGGTTGTATCTGTCTGATGCCTGAAATCCAAATTCTTCCATTTCCAGCTCTGACATCCCTCAGTTTGACAAGCTTGAATTTTAAATATACGGAAAGAGTTTGAAAATAATTCTGATTGACCCACTTTCTTGCAATTCTTTATCTAGTCCAAAAAGCCATCTTACCAAGTTCATCATCTTGTCAACTGGGCTTACTTTGTTGGGGTTCATTTTCTCAAGCATCTTCTTAATTTGTTCAAACGTGGGTCTCATAAGAGGATTGTGTGCCCAACACCTTTTAATTAGCTTCAAGGAAAAGAAAGAACATTGCATTAAAATTGCCATTCAAATTCACAAATGTGTTTATGACCAGCAATTTTGTACCATCCAATCACAATATGATTTTAGTTCACATCTGTTCTACTCAAATGCTCATAGGATCATAGAATTGTGCAGAAGAGGTAGCTTGGTCCATCTAGTCTTCTCACCTTAAACGACTTTAAACTGCACTAGTCCCATTTTTGCATAATAGTTTTGAATGTTATGGCATTGCAAATGCTCATCCAAGTACTTTTTAAAGGTTGTGAGGTTTCCTGCCTCAACCAGCCCCCCAGACAGTGCATTCCAGATCCCCATCACCCTGTGGGTGAAATAAAATCCTTCTAATCTGGTCTAAACTTCCTGACTTTGATCTTAACATTTTACCTCCTTGTTATTGACTCTTCAAATAAGGGGAAAGCTGCTTTCTAATCTCTGCCCTGTATATGGCCCCCATAATCTTACACATGTGTATCATGTTGCTCCCCCCCAACCTTATCTGCTCCTAAGAAAACAACCTGAGCTTATCCAGCCTCTCTTCATTGCTGAAATATTCTATCCCAGCCAAAATCCTGGTGAACCTCATCTGCACTCCCTCCAGTACAATCACATCCTTCCTGTCGTGTGGCGACCAGAACTGCACACAGTACTCTAGCTGTGGCCTAACCAAAGTCCTGTCCTGTACACCTCCAGCATGACCTCCCTGCTCTTATAATCTATGCCTTGACTGGTAAAGACAAGTGCCCTGTTTACATTCTGAACTACCCTATTAACCTGTCCTGCCACCTTCAGGGGTTTATGGACAAGCATCCCAAGATCCTTCTGTCCCTCTGAACTTCCTATTGTCCCGCCATTCATGAAGTACTCCCTTGTCTTATTCCCTCTTCCAAAGTACATTGCCTCGCATTTATCAGGATTAAATTCCATCTGCCACTGATCTGCCCATGTGACCAAAACATCTATATCTTCCTGTAAATTGGAGACAGTAAGTACTGCTGTTGCTGGAAGCTGGAGTCAACAAATGTGGAGCTGGAAAAGCATCAGAGGAGCAGAAAAGTCAACGTTTCAGGCTAAAACCCTTTTTCAGGACTGATTGAGTCATGACAAAGGGTTTTGACCTGAAACTTTGACTTTCCTGCTCCTCAGATGCTGTCTGACCTGCTGTGTTTTTCCAGCTCCACGTTTACTGACTATATCTTCCTGTACCCTAACACCTTCCTCTTCAATGTCAACTACCCAGTCAATCTTCATCTCATGTCATCTTAAACTAACCTATCTTCCCCCCTCCCCCAACATTCTCATCAATATCAGTTCTGAATATCACAGACAATAAGGAACCCAGCACTGATCCCTGTGCTAGACCACTGCACACCAGGCTCCAGTCACACAAACAGCCTTCTACCACCACCCTCTGTTTCCTGTCACTAAGCATTTTTAGACCCAAATACTTTTCCTTTCAAGCTCTGTATTCTTTTCACTGTTCAAATATTTAGACAATTTCCTTTTGAAGATTATTATTAAATCTGCTTCCAACATGCTTTAGGGCTGTGCATTCCGCATGTAGAAAAACGGTATCTTCAAAATTCTTTTGCCTATTGTCTGTGCCCTCTTGATACCAACCCTTCTGCTACTGAAGAACCACTGTTTAAAATGCTTTAGTAGGTTGTAAATCATATTTGAATTTCCAGCTAAGTCCTCCTAAGACTGCTTGCATTCATTAAATGAGTGTGCAGGATCTCGTTTTACTGAGCAGGCAGCTTACCTCAGTGTAATCCCCCTGGTTTGGGCAATCACTATTGGACTTTCCGTCATTAATCTCGGGAAGATAGGGACGCCAAGTTGGAGCAACCTTATCGAGGTCAATATCCCCCTTGAACACAAGTGGATGTAATAAATGCAGTTTAATCCTGGTGAATGAAGGTTGTGAACTGCATTGTAAAAGTTGGCCACCAAGATGGGTAAATACTTACTGAGACTGGCTCACAGCGTGTTGCAATTTCAAGCAGTATAATGGAATAGCTGAATATAGAAACAAACATGACATGTTTTCAGATTCACTTGAAAGAAAACAATCCCAGTTCATGCCATGAATGAAAAATGTATAAAAAGATATAAAAGTTTGTGTACATGTACAAATAGATTCAAGAACAGCTTCTTCTCCACTGTTATTAGACATCTGAATGGGCCTCTCAAATTTTAAATTTAATGTTGATCTCACACTTTGTGCACTTTCTCTGCAGCCGTAACATTGTATTCCTCGCTCTGCTCTATTACTCTAATGCACATTGTATGGTATGATCTGCCTGTACTGCATGAAAAACAAAACTTTCCACTGTACCTAGGCACATGTGACATTAATAAATCAAATCAAATTAAAATGAGGTTCAGCTCTTCCACCAGATTGATTCACCCATCTTGACAAGTGATGGGAGAGTCTTATTCCAACATGTGCATCCTGAAATGAACCAATCAAGAAGCACAAAAGTCTCCCAGTTGAGGCAACAATTTTTTTTCCATCATTTGCTGACCAGGCATTACTCCCACTCTTACCATCTGCCCTTGGTGCATCTGAAAAGTCTTAACCTGTTTGGCTGAACACATCTTCCTTGGCAATCAAGCTCTGGAGTGGGATTCAAACTGAGAGCTTCTAGCTCAGAGGCAGGGCTACTGATGCTGTACCACAAGACCTTATTATCCATACATTATGGTTTTTCCACAACATCCAATCTTGAGAGTGTTACAAAAATCGTTGGCCCATTCTTAACAAATTCTCGGTTGGCATGAGGGGTCATGGTGGGTGTCTGCAAGGCATGAGATAGCATGGGTTGATGAGGTGGGGTTTGGAGAGTGTTATGCTGTACATATTGTTTTGACACAATAATAGATGTCATTTGGGACAGTTAAGCTACTTCAGTCCAGTTTGCCTCAATTCCCAGCATCCTCCATCAGTATCCCAGCAGCACCCAACACAATTATCAGGGAACCTCTGCACCCTTGAATTTAAAGAAATCTCAACTCCTGAATCAATTTGTCCTGTAGAAACAAGAAATGTCCCATCCCTGTGTTTCCAGTGTTACTAAAAACTGAATTTGTCCTCACTGTCTGTTTACTTTTTAATATCTGATCTACAAATAATTACATAGACTGTACAAGATAGGATCGGGCTATTTGGCCCAACAGTCCATGCTAGTTTTAGCCTCTGCTCAAGCTCTATCCCATCATACTCACTTAAGTCTATCAGCGCCTTTTATCTAAATTACCTGCAAATTCATCAATTCACTTCAACTGCCTGTCACACTTTGCAAGATAGAATGTTGTGGTGCAAAGATAACAATCTCTCCCTCAATGTCAGCAAAACTAAAGAGCTGATCATTAACTTCAGGAAGGAGGAGGACATGCCCCTGTCTACATCAACAGAGCTGAGGTGGAGAGGGTCAAGAGCATCAGGTCCCTAGAAGTGATGGTAACCAACAATCTGTCCTGGTCCTCCCCTGTAGATGCAACGATCAAGAAGGCACAACCTCTTCCTCAGGAGCCTAAGGAAATTGAGCATGCCCAGAAGGACCTTCGCCAACTTTTACAGATGCACCATAGAAAGCATTCTACCTGCATAATAGCTTGGTATGGCAACTGCTCTGCCCAGGACTGTAAGAAACTACAGAAAGTTGTGAACACAGCCCAGACTATCAGGCAAGCCAACCTTCCATCCATAGACTTCATCTATACTTCTCATTGCTGCAGAAAGGCTGCCAACATCAAAGATTCCCTCCCATGCCAGTTAGACTCTCTTCCAACCTCTTCCGTCAGGCAAAAGATACTGAAGCTTAAACACAGATACCAACAGGTTCAAGAACAGCTTCTTCCCCTGTCTTAGTGGTCTGCTGAATGGACCTCTCAAATTTCAAATCTAATGTTGATCTTGCTTCAGTACACCTCCTGTGCAGCTGTAACATTGTATGCTTCACTCTGTTTAAACACCCTATGATCTGTATGTCCTTGTTTGTTATGATCTGTCTGCACGGCATGCAAAACAAAGCTTTTCACTGTATTTGGGTCCATGTGATAACAATAAATTAAATCAAATCAATTCTAACCAGTCTCTGGATGACGAGGGTTGTTCTGAATCACAGGTTGGATTCCTATCCTCTTCCACCAATGATACTCATGGAAACACATGGAATAGTAGAAAGACAGAATGGTTGCAATCCAGAAGGGGATCATTCAGCCCATAGTGTTAATGCTACCTCTCAGCAGGATAAATTCAGCCTCTCTGAATCTCCTATCTTTCTCTGCAGTCCTGCAAATCTTTGCCCTCCCAATATCCAATTCCATTTTAAAGGCCACAACTGAACCAGTGTCGAACACAGACCGAGATAATGCATTCCAGATCCTAATCACCTTGATGTATAAAATAGTTTTTCCTCATGCCTCCTCTGGATCTTTTGCCAGTTGCCTTATATCTGTACCCTCTGGTACTTGATCCTTCCACCAATTGGAACAGTCTTTTTTCCCCTACCTCCTTTATGCAGAGCCCTCAGGATTTTGAATGCCAAATCAAATCCCTTCTTAGCTCCTCTATCTCCAAGGAGATTCCAACTGCTCCAGTTATCCAGGAGACAGAAGTCTATCACGCCTAGAAACATTCCCACTCCTTCACCCTGTCCAATGTGCTGACATTACTACAAAAGAATGGACCCAGCCAAGGTCAAACCTGTGTCCCACCAAGACCCACCACAATATTCCCCCCATTTTCCATGCCCTCTCTACATCCGTTAAGCCCAACACATCTCCATCAACTATTGTTCCAACCTCGTGAGCAATCAGTGAAAGGAGCAGTTTGTATTGGAGTGAAGTTACCTGTAAACATCTGCAGTTGGGGTAACATTGGAAACCAAGCCTGTAAATACTTCCGGACCACTGTAAATGCGTCTTGCCCTTGCATTGAGTGTGAGAGAAAATTCTTCAAAATCATCCTTTCGGTAGGCTGCTAAGCCGTAATCTTCACAAAATAAAATTGAAACAGCAATTCAGAGAGCAATCCAGACCATGATGCTGCATTGCATTATCCTGTCCAGCTTGCATGACTGAAATTACCTGAGATTTTGCAAACCCATCTATCATCGATGATGCAGTTCATTGAGTGTAACCTCCCGTGGTAAATTCTGTGCTGATGAAGGTAAGCCATTCCCCGAGCCAGGTCAGTGGCAAATGACAGTCTAAAGCAACAACAAGGACTTACATTTACATTGAGTCTTTAATGTGGAAAATAAATGTTCTAAGGTGCCTGACCAAATCACAAGAGATAAATGGACAGTGAGCCCAAAGAAGGAGGAATTATTAAGAGAACTACAGAGAAGATTTTTTGAGGAGCAGGATGTAACAGGATGAACAAGAGGCAGAGTGATGAGGGGATTACAGGGGAAGGGATTGTTCAGTGTGGAACTTAATGTGGGTGTGAAGGAAGGTGATGCACAGAAGAAGTTAGAGTAAAGGGGAAATGTTGACCTAGTGGTAATATCACTGGGTTATTAATTGTAAGACCCAGGTAATGCTGTGGGGATCTGTGTTCAAATCCTACAAAGGCAGATGGTTGAATTTGAATTAAATTTCAAATGAAACCTGGAAATTAAGAGTTGAATGGTGACCATAAAGCTATTGCTGACTTTCTGGGGAACAAAAAATACCCATCTGGTTCATTAATGTCCTCCCTTTAATCATAGAATGCCCTGGAAACAGGCTAAATGTCCACACTCCAAAAAGCATTCCACTACTCCTGCATTTCCCATGTTGACTACACCTAACTTAAACATCCCTGGGCACTACAGGTAATTTAGCATGGCCAATCCACCCTAACCTGCACATCTTTGGACTGTGGGAGGAAATCCACACAGACAGTCACCCAAGGCTGGAATTGAACCCATATCCCTAGTACTGTGAGGCAGCAGTGCTAACCACTGTGCCACTATGCCACCCCTGTAGGGGAAGAAGCTGCTACTGCTGCCTTGATTCCAGACCCAGGCTAATGTGGCTGACTCTTAACTGCCCTCTGGGCAATTAGAGATGGGCAATAAATACAATGCTGTGAATGAAAATAAAGAATGGAAATTTCAGGGTGACTCTAGGACATTTCTATATCCACCACTGCTCACAGGTCGACAGGATGGTTAAGAAAACATTTAGAATGGTTGCTGTACTACTGGTCACTATGGAGAGGCCTGGGAACTGTAGACCTGTAAGTCTGATGTCAGTGGTGGGTAAATTGTTGGGGGAGGTACTGAGAGACAGGATCTACATGCACTTGGAGAGGCAAGGGCTGATTAGGGATAGTCAATGTGACTTTGTGCTTAGGAAATCATGTCTCACTAACTTGATTGAGTGGTAGATATCTACATGGACATTAGTAAAACTTTGACAAGGTTCCGCATGGTAAACCAATTAGTAAAGTTAGATCACATAGGATTCAGGAGAGCTTGTCAATTGGATACAAAGTTGGTTTGATGGTAGGAGACAGAGGACAGTAGTGGAGGGTTGTTTTTCAGACTGGAGGCATGTGACTAGTGGTGAGGGATTAGTGCCGGGTCCACTTTGTTTGTCATTTATATAAATGATTTGGATGAGAATTTAGGAAGCCTGGTTTGTAATTATATGAATGACATCAAAATTGGTGGTAAATTCGACATTGAAGAAGATTATCTAAGATTACAAAGAGGTTTTGATCAATTGGGTCAATGGACTGAGAAGTGGCAAATGGAGTTGAATTTTGATAAACGTGAGGTATTGTATTTGGTAAAACAAACAAGGATAGGATTTAAGATAACGAGATAACAAGGTGTAGAGCTGGATGAACACAGCAGGCCAAGCAGCATCAGAGGAGCAGGAAGACTGCCGTTTTGGGCCTAGAAGGGTCTAGGCCTGAAACATCAGCCTTCCTTCTCTTCTGACGCTGCTTGGTCTGCTGTGTTCATCCAGCTCTACACCTTGTTATCTCAGATTCTCCAGCATCTGCAGATCCTGCTATCTCAAGATAGGATTTATACAGTTAACGGTAGGACCCTGGGTAGTGTTGTTGAACAGAGAGACCAAAGGGTTCAGATCCATAATTCTTTGAAAGTTGTATCACAGGTAGACAGGGTGGTTAAGAAGGCTTTAGGCCAATTTTGTATCCAATCGGCAAACTCACCCTGAATCTCATGTGATCTAACTTTACTAATTAGTTTACTTGAGTGCAAGACTTGGGATATCATGTTGAGGTGAGGCCACTTTTGGAGTGCTGCGTACAGTTCTGATCATCCTGCTATAGGACGGATATTATTAAATTGGAGAGGGTTAAGAAAAGATTTATCAGGATGTTGCCAGAACTGGAGGGCTTGAATTATAAGGATAGATTGGATAGGCTGGGACTTTTTTCCCATGGAATGTCGGAAGTTGATCTTATAGAGATTTATAAAATCATGAGAGCCGTAGATAAGGCGAATAGCAAAGTCTTTTCTCTACGATGGGGGAATTTCAAAACTAGGGGGCTTTTTTTTAAGGTGAGAGGAGAAAGATTTAAAAGGGGCCTGAGGGGCAACTTTTTCACACAGAGGGTGGTTCATATGTGTAATGACTGCCAGGGAAAGTGATATATGCAGGTACAGCTAGAACATTTAAAAGACATTCGGGTAAGTACATGAATAGGAAGGGTTTCAAGGAATATGGGCCAAACACAGGAAAGTGGATCTAATTTTGGTTGTGATTATGGTCGGTGTGGACAGGTTGGACTGAAGGGTCTGTTTGTATGCTGTATGACTCTGCGACTCTACAAGGTCGTATTGCTGACACCATTCTCTTTCAGGGTAGGATCTACAGGATCTCCTTTGTCTTGTGTGGTCATGGAAGAGGCTTTTGTTTGTTGTACGATCACAACTGGGTACAAGTTACGCTGATATGATTGAATAGTTGGAGGACTTGGATGGCCATTCTTACTTCTTTGAGATTCTAATTTCTTCTTCAACTTACCCCAATTAAGATCAGCATAGTGGGCAGTGCTTAAGGCACTCCCCATATTAACCCTTTCAGACCCTTACACTCTGACGCAACAGACATTATACAGATAGAGATGGGAGTGGTGTTGGGGAGCAGGACATGAAGAGATTTTGAGATATAAATTTGGGTTGTTGAGCGATTGGGGTGCAATGTAGATCAGCAAAGACTGGGCTGATGGGAGAGTCAGATATGTTGCAGAATACAATAAACTTCAGCTTTTGGATGAACAAGTGAATAGGAGATCAGATGGTGGTCTTCTTTTAGATGGGCCACAGTCTGTCAGCGGTGACAGGAATGAATTTTAAGTTGGTAGATTTGTTGGATCTGGGGATTCACAGAGCACAGAATCCTTAGGCTCTGAGCTGGAGGGTGACACTGCCATCATGCTAATGTTACTGGACTTAAAATCCAGTGGCTCAGCCTCATATTATGGGGATGTGGGCTCAAATGCCACTAGGCCAGCTGGTAGAATTTACATTCTGTCAATTAAATCTGGAAAATAAAGCTTTTCTTACTAACAATAACCATGACAACTATTGTTGAATGTTGCAAGAACCCATATGGTTTGCAAATTGAGGCAGAGAAATCTGCCATCCTTACTTATCCTGGGCAATGTGGCTGACTTGGAAATGCATCCCCTCATATCACATGGCAGGCATATTAAATCTGCATTTCTTTTACAAGGCTGGTCTACAGTTTCTGGTCAATGGTAAGCCCCAGAACGTTAGTACAGGATTCAGCAATGGTAATGTTTTTGAATGATGAGATGAATTCTGTCTTATTAGAGATGGCCATTGTCTGGTGCTTGAATGTGATTCACTGTTTATCAGCCCAAAGCTGACTGTTGGGTAGGTCTTGTTTCTTGTAGGCACAGACTACTTCCGTATCTGAAGAATGGTAAGCGGTTCTCAACACTCTTCAGTCATATTCCCATGTCTGACCTAATGATGGAGAGAAGGTGATGGATGAAGCAGCTGAAGCTGGTTGAATCCAGGACCATGCACTGAGGACCTCCTGCAGCCTTATCCTGGGTTTAAGATGTTCGGTCAATGAAGTTGTGCTTTCAAGACTGTCTTAGAGGTGGACAGAGAAGTAAAGAGGTAGGCATTAAGGAGGTAATTCCAAAGTTCAGGGCCTGGGTAACTTAAGGCAAAGTCACCAGTGGTGGAGCAGGGAAATCTGGAGAGTGTGCAGTGATCTTAGAGGCTGTGAGGTTGGAGGACATTACAAAATGGTTTGGGTGAGGACATGAAAATAAGTGAACACACATGATATGAGGTTTAAATTTAAGGAGTTGTCAGATGGCAAACCAATGTAAACAAGTGAGATGATGGATTCATACAACAGTTAACCAGTGTTACAACCAGAATGCACAGGGGCAGTGGGGAAATGCAACTTGTTGCAAGTCAGGATTGACCAGGAGAGGTTAAGATTACCTTAACTGTATCGAGGACTCAAGGTGGGAGTTTACTGGAGCTTTGGGCTTGTCAATCCTGAGGTAGTCAAGGCATTTGAGCAGAGACAAGGATGAAGACTATGGAGGTGTACATGTCAAAATGATTCAGATTCAGAGATGAAAGTAACGGATTTCTCCCAGCACACTGGGATCATGAAGTTATTTTCGATGTTATTATTTACCTGAATCCCCAGTTCAAGGGAATGTCATCGTTGAACAGAACATCCACCAGGCTCCCTTTTGGACAGTATTCAGTAATTATGGTAACACTGGGGATCTCGACAGATCCACCAATAAATTTGCACAAATTTGGATGATCAAGTTCCCTGGAATGGACAGAAATGCATTTGAAGAATAAACACTCCTGAAATACCTTTAACTAACAATAAATAAAGAAAAGAAGCATTCAAACGCCATAGGTTACATTTCATCTTTATCGTACACGGTTCCGGGAATGTTTCAATATTTTGAGGAAGAAAACACTTCACTACTTTCTACTGAAACTGAAAATCAGTGACTTTAATGGTGACTCCTCTTACATCACATTTTCACTCTTCTCACTCATAATATTTTCACACGTGATAGATTCACGCAACTGTTAACTTTTTGTCATATAAACTACGGCTAAATATATGAGAAGTTGTATGTTATGGTTTAATGGTCTATTTTAATTTTTAAAAATGTCCTTTTGTTGCAGAATAACATGTCTCAATCTCCTGATCCATAGTAAAAGTCTCTCGCTAATTTATTTTTATTAAATGGAATCTTATAGTGTGGAAGAAAGTCACGTGGCCCATCAGCACCCTTCCAAAAAGCATCCCACCCAGACCCACCTCCTAACCTATCCCATGCTCAACATCTAGCCTGTACATGCCTGGACACTGTGGGCTTTTTAGCATGGCCAATCCACCTAAGCTGAATATGTTTGGAGGAACCGAAGTACCCAGAGGAATCCCACACAGACACAGGGAGAAGGTGCAAACTCTGCACAGATAGTCACCCAAGCCTGGAGTCAAGCCCAGGTCCTTGGCACTGTCAGGTAGCAGCGTTAACCACTGAGCCACCTTGGCTTGTTGGGCCAAATAGCCTACGTATGCTCCAAAGTCTTATAACCCTATGGTTATCTCGCTCTGATATTCTGTCTGTATCTTACATCAACCCTTACCCACCTATACTTCCAATGCTCTGTTTATTTTGAATAACACTGTCTCCTTTTCCACTGTTATATATCCAAGCTATTTGCTTGTACACCATCTTTTGCCATCTTCTCAGCAGTGTGATAATGTTTGATCAAGAAGGCACTACGAGGGGAGTTACAGGATGCCTTGCTCTCTTTTTAATTCACTTGTGGATTTGGGTGTCACTGGTTGGGTCAGCATTTATTGCCCATCCCAATTTGCCCTTGAAAAGATGGTACTGATCTGCCTTCTGGAACAACTGGTATATACAACTGAATGGCTTACTGTGCAATTTCAGAAGGCAGTTAAGATCAACCACATTGCTGTGGGTCTGGAGTCACATGCAGGCCAGACCAGGTCAGGATGGCAATTTCCTTCCCTAAAGGACATTAGTGAACCAGAGGGGATTTTCCTGACAACCAACAATGGTTTTCGTGGTCATCAGTAGGGTCTTAATTCCACATTTTTTAAAAAATTCAAATTCCACAGTCTGCCATGGCAGGATTTGAAACCAAGTCCCCAGTACATGAGACAACAAGGTGCAGGGCTGGATGAACACAGCAGGCCAAGCAGCA